GATAAAATCACACCTCAAATTGAGTTAATCCTTATTCGACAAGGCCAGCTATTTCTAAAAAATTTTTTAGAAATTGGAGAATTCTTGACATAAAAATTCATAAAATTGATTTAAAAATTGGTTATTTATTTAGTTTTTTCTTTCAAATCAGTAATCAAGCGTGCAAGAAGTACCATAGATTAGAGATCAATAATAATGATAAGTAGATTCGTTCAAAATTCAATTGCAAGGTTTGCTTAACTTATTCACTCTCTATCAATATCAAAACAGTAATAATTACAGCTTACATAAAAATATCGATAACTCTAAGTATATATCAATATTAAAAGCAATAAAGTATTTTTTCTTTAAATCAACCCCAAACAACTGGACAACTGATGAAATCTTGCAACTCACAACTGAAAGAAATAAATCTTTAGGAAGAAAGCCAATGTGAAGCTCGCCTGAGGCTATAGGTTAATGAGTGAAAACATTTGTTTAAAATTTAAAATACAAGCAAGAAAATGTGAAATAACAAAGATAAAAGAATTCACCGATGTATTCTGTCCTAAATTATTGAGTAGAGCAAAATAAACTTTTTAAATTTTATTCCATCATAATTTCCTAATTTTTCCACTGGTTGTGCAATAAGATAAACCTCTATTTAAACCTCTGATATATTGTAAAAACGAGCGAAATTGAGGTAGTTGAGAATTACTTTGGCACTTTGCTAAAACTTATGGGCTTATATTTTTGAGAACTATTTTTTGAACTCCTTTGAATAGTAGTCGTAGGCGAATAAATTAGTATAATTCGGATATTTTTAAGGATTTTAAAAATGGTGGATAAAAATAAAAGTTTAATGATATCGATAACTTCTTTTAGCAATAAATGTAATATTATTGATAATATTATTGTAGATATTCGTGCAAACGAAGAAAATCCTAAATTTTTTTTAAGCTATTTAGTTATTCATTTAGAAATTTAATGAAAATAAATAAAATATGGATCATCTGCATCAAAGTTCACGAAATCTTGTTTTAAACGATAAAACACTCGCTTAAAGTAGCTTTTATGATTGGATTCCAGGGGAAGATTAATGAAATTCTCCATAAAATCCCTCTTTTATAATTCAGTCCTTTTTCCTTTAGCTACGTGGTAAGACAAAAAAACAACGAATTAAGCTTGGCTAAAAAAATTATTACATCTTCATGGGTTGTAAAACATTTGTGGATAAAACAAAGAAAAATGAGAAAGCAAATGAAAAATTATATAATTCTCGGATAATCTCGAATAATTAAAAATCTATTAAAATAAAAAAACTCTTTGAAAAAAGCTCCCATTTAATTTTTTTGAAAAATTATCGTTTATAATAAATTGGATATTTTCAATTTCTCATTGAAACGAACGGATCGGAAATAATTAATTAGCGTTGCGGGATAAATATTTTATCACCTGCCGATTTCATCTTTAATTGTTTATATAAATAATTTTTTATTATATACAATGAACTAATAACATAAACACTTAAGTATAAAAATAGACAAATAAATGCTGAAATACATTCATTCATTAAGTAAATCGAAAACTGTTAAAAATCAATTTTTTAAAATTTGCTTAATTTTGCTTTGTCTGGAAGTAGATTTGCTTAATTAGAAATTAAATTTGCCTAATTGTTCGGCTGAGATTAGGCGAAGAGCGGAACGACTGGTGAGGCTCGATTCGTCTGAATTGTGCTGAGAATTGGTGATCTGCTTACCGCTGGTTTCAAGCCAATTCCCATATTAGCAGCAGTGAGTGGAGCGAGTAAACAAATTTGATGAAGACACCGTGTTATAAAATTTTGTTTGTTCTATGATTAATTTATTAGTCGAGTTGATTTTTGCAGCTGTTTCTCCTTTAATACTTCATTGTTCTTCTTATCAAAAAAATTCCGAGGAAAAAGCTTGTAATTGCCGAATTACTCTTAGGTAAAAGGTAAAAGGTTTTCCTTCACATCTCCAGATGCTTTCTCATTGCATTTCAGATTCACCTGTTTCCCATACATTTCCAGATTCACAAATGAACAAAACCCCAAGAATCACCTATTGCTGGATTTGACCGATTGAGAAAATAGTTCAGTGTTGGCCATTTATCGAAATAGGGCTTCACGCACATCGAATTGACATTAAATTAGCAATTACTGGTGATTTAACGAAAATTATTGAATTATTGAATCATTTATTTATACCGTTGCTTGATGCTTGAATGGCTTATTGTTTAGATTGATGAAATCGGATGAAATCTCACAAAATCTCTGAAATAAAGCTGAACTAGCTGAGTGTTCGAGGAGATACGACGACATATTTATATACATTCACTGTGATTGCAATATTGTTTAAATGCATTCTGCATACGCGTATATTTTATTTTAAATTCAATTTGCGGGTAGTACCATGAATCCTTGTTGCTTATTGTTTGCAACCATTTATATGGCTCGTATTATTTCCTTCCAAATACCTGATATTTTGCTATAATTTCACAGGATTCTACAAACCGTAGTAATGTTTTCACTAATAATTTTGATACAGCAATTTTTTACTTTAAGCAATTATTTTATTAAAAATGGCAATAACCAATCGGTAAAAAAACCTCTGAAATAAAGTGAGCTAAACAGAATTTTGGGACAAAAAAAAATAGATGCTGATGAAAAACGATTAAAAATGAGAAATATTATGGAAGTCCAGCGAAATTTTGATTACTTTTACGAGCTTTTCAGATCTCTCAAACTCGCAACACATCTTTATTTCACCATTGAACCAATCGCAGCTAAAAATGCCATAATTTTTATCATAGATACTGGTTTCAGAAATGATAAAAAGATAAAAATGATAAAAAGACAAACTGAAAAATGTTAAGAATACACAATTAAAGTGAATATCACTTTTTTTCCATTCTATCAAATTTTTGATCATTTAGATGCAAATTCTTCACATTTAATTTATTTCTTCTTTTCTCCGATCATTCTCGACTCGTTTTACTTGCCATTGTTTAATCACTTTCTGCTAACGGCTCTCACCATTACCGCTTAGGATGGTTGAGCTACAACGATAAGACATCTCCAAACTGTTCGGTACAACGCCATCGTTGACAGTTATAGAACATTCATTTTTCCACCGTCTAAGTCCATATACGCTGGTCCATCTACACGTTCAAAATCTTTCCCGAATATATCGCTCCAGATCTTAGTCCTTCTCGCTTGCCATTCATCACAGGCTTTTGCAATTAAAAACGCGTCAATCAACCCCTATGCTGGTCATTGTTTATCATTAAAGTACCTCATAAATAATGATTTACTGCACATGAAATTCATTCTACTCATGAAACTAAGCCTCTTGATTATGTATTAAATTAATTCATGATGGGATTCTAAACGATTCGCTTGATTTTTTGGATAATCGTAAGTGAATAACATTCACCAGTTCTCATTACGCTCCCGAATTTTTAAATGAAAGGCTAATTCTTGCCAGGTGCAGATGCTCGAAATGATAATTTAGGCGTTCAATCTGCCCATGCATTTCCTTAATCTATTAGGTTTGTTTTTAATAATTACAGATGCGCTCAAATATTCTGATGAAATTAATTTTACGCCGACAGATATACTGCTTTCGATAAGAGAATCTGATCAAATCAGACGAAGATTTCAAAATTATTATTAAAAAACGATAAAACAAGTAAATTCTTAGCTTTGCGATTAAACTGACTCGACTGCTTTAAAATACATCAATCAATAACTTCGACTTTATTATTAAATCGACTGCAAATTTTTCGTCGATCTTAATTTTTCAAAATAATAAATTTTCCAAAACAATTAGAAAAAAACTGAACTGAAATACAATTTTTCCTTTGTAAATCAGTTGAATGTTACTATTATTAATTGCGAATCAAAGAAAATATTTTAAAAGATCGAAAAAAGGGAAATTTTTATCCTAACAGACCTCAAACTTGCAACTTATGCGCTTCTGCGCTTCTTAATAATTTATTCTAATCTCTAAACTAATGATTCAACGTATAAAATAATTTATCACTATCATCCTGGAGGAACTGATCATCAAAACTTATTAATTCATTAACATTAAATACAAATTAAATTAAGAATAAAACTGGTAAATCCATCTGAATAATTCAAAATGAGAAAAATGAAATAAACAAAAGTAAAAAGCAAAAGCAAAAATAAAACACCTATCATTTTTCACACCTTCCCAACCTTCAAAACTTCAATGGAAAAAAATAGAAACCCTTAAAATTTCATAGAGGTTCATACAAGCCACGTTGATTATGAAGGAATCGTTGTGATTTCGGAGTCAACTAAACTAAGTTGGAATGGGCAAAACAGGGAAAAAAGGAATTTCTACAAACATCGTTATGAATGCGAAGATACACAATAAATTTAAACTTAAAACGAAAATGAAATGAAAAAAATGAATTTAAATGAAAAAATAAATTTAAAAAATTACAAAAATTTAAAAATCATCTAAATATTTATACGCCTGCAATGAATTGACTCAATGTCTAACAAACAATTTTTAAATTGTTCCTTTAGATCAGTTAGGCACAATTCAGCTAGTAAACGCACACCATCATCTTTATCAGACATTAACAATTTGCGCAATTCACGATTTATATCTCTTAAATATGACGAAAGATTCTGAAAAATTATAAACATCAATAGAATTACATTTGGATCTTGAGTAAAGTTTAGAATTGTATTTTGAAAAGAATGCGCTTTTAACGAAGGGACTAAATTTTAAACCTGAAAAATTGAATTGTCATATGAGATAATAATAGCTCTCAAAAGTGAAATAGCAGAACGCCTTAAAATTGCTTCTTTTGCCCCAAAAAGTATTCGTTCAATCAGTATTAGCAACTGAAAAATATAAAAATTTTATTTTAATGAATAAAAAGAATGAAAAATCGAATATTAAATATATTAAAATAAATATACAAATATAAATATTTAAATTTTTTAACTAAAATCACTTTTAAAAATATGCCTCATCTATATTCTTTTCAATCTTTCGTCCTCGACATGCTTTAATTAAATCAGCTAATGAACATATGGCTGAAGCTCTCAGATGTTCGTCATCGACATGGGCTATTAAAGATAACAGTGGATCAATAAGACGGTCATAATACCACGGAGCCATATCACCTGAACTGATTTGTTTAAACACACGTGCGCTTTTCATAATTCACTATTAATACATTTTTAAAATACTATGCTATAAATGAATATTTTTTAAAAAAAATCTCTGATTATAATGTAAAAGCTTAAATAATAATTTTGAATCACAAAGAATACCGAGCGCTCTGCAAACTTTTCCCAAGGCTTCGCCAACTTTTACTCGTTGAATCAATAAAAATACTTCTTTATCGTCATCTTTATCGAAATCTGTTTTAAAAAATTTTAAACAATCTTTTTGGAGAAATAAAGTCTACTGAATTAGGGCATTTGCCAAAAATTCAAGAAAAAAATGAAAGATTACCTTGGTCAATGATATCTCGTAATTTGTCGCAAGGATCAACGAAAAATTCAACCATCTCATTAAAAAAATAATCTTTCCAATATGCTAATTCTGCCATAGCTCCAATCGCAGCCAAATATACATAAGAATCATTGTCAGTAACATTTTCTAAAATCGACTTTGTGTTGGTCATTTAACAAACATAATAATAAACCAAAATGAACCTAAACCTAAAAGTAAAATGATACTAATACAAATTAAAATAGACAAAAAACTAACTCATAATTAATTTCATTATTTGAGAATTGGATTCTACAGCAGTTAGTGTCACCCGTTTTCGCAGTCGAACATCCCTTGCCAATATAATTAAAGCGTGGCCCCTTATAGCTTCCGATGAATCTTTTAAATTTTCGAAAATTTCCGCCAAATCGTCCACATTTTTCCAGATCATTAAATTCTTTGCTTTTTCATTATTTTTACTAGAATATTTTCCAATGAAAATTATTGAAGATGAAAGTTAGGTAAATAGATAATTGAAAAATTTAACAGCTAAAGTTTAATACCAACTTTCAATAGGATAATTTGTCCTTCACTGAATTATAATTTCATTTCTCAGCGAATATTCGTTAACATCGATATCCATTTGAATTTTTCAATTATAAAAAATTAAAAACGAACTCAAATGTAAAAGGAGACGATATGTTCAAGTGGATTCCAGTACTACAGAAATAATCCAAAAGTTGTTTGGCATTATCGTATAGCTCAGCATATTTCGTTTTACGCTTTATATCTATCTGTTCTACCAAATGACAAAAAATATTGAGACTTTCACTCAGTGGAACAACAGCATTTCGTAACTAAGTAAAAAATTTTAAGCAAAAATATAAAGTAATAAAATAATTCTGACAAGTAAAAATAAAAATGCATTATAAAACTATAAATAAAATTTTCCCATCTACTAGACTAATAAAAGATCTACTTTTTGAATCCCTTTTTCTACTACATCCATAGAAAAAAATTCTGCAGATTAATTACTTGAACTGAGAGCGATGAACTTTCTTCCATATTTTTCAATTTGAAGTATTAAGATACGAGTAAGTTCTGCCATTCCTACATATAAGAACGAGTTAAGCAAATTAGGAAAAGAATAAACTTTCGATGAATGAAGTGAAATACAAGTCCCGCCAATTATTGCCATCGCCATTTTAATACTATTTCGCTCCGTTTCAGTAAGTTCATCAGATGAATCTTCAGCAAAAACATCAAGTTGCATAGGAGAAAAAGCAGACAGTTTATTGTTTGTAGAGTCGAAAATGGCCTATAGGTACAATATTAAACAAAATTATAGAAAATGAAACTTTTAAAAACTTTTGAAAATGAGATATTTATGAGATGAGATAAATAAGATGTGAGATGAGATGAGATAATGAGAAAGTAAACAATTACAATTACAAAGTAATATTGATATAATATTGATTTAAGATATTACTTGGGCGAATGCTACCATGGAAGCAATATTTTCTTCAGATTCATCGTCTATATCAGGTAAAAATGAATACAATTGGCCCATAATATATTGCATACTCATCTTTCTTGTAGCTAAATTCTTTAAGTTCAAATAAATTTACATAGATAGAGGATAAGAATGAATCTAAACCAAAGAAAAAACTTACCATTATTTATAACTTCATTTTCTTGCACGACAAATCGGTTAGTATCTGGTTCTAATTCGTCTATGCTATTAACCCGCCATTCTTTCACGCAAAGTATGAGTAAATTAAAAATTAAGGTTTGATAATGCGAATTTTCCAGTCTCTTGAATAAAAAATAAAAAAAATTTAATGTTTTAAAATTATAGATAAAAGGAATTGAAATAATCATTCATCTATTAAACTAAAATAAACTACATAATTTTTAGCTCTCGACCACTTAAATTTTAGCGGTTGAAAAGATGTGAAATAAAATTTCAGACAATAAAAAGATCAAAAGCATAAAGATGCTAATCGAAATACTTGGACAAGTTCAATCACTGTCTTGAGTCGAAAATCCAAATTGAAATTTTGACCAGCAGTTTCTGAAGTTATTCGCTTTAAAATTACGTAATCGAAAGACGGATTCAAAGATTGATTTCCAACATCACAATCAGAAACTTCCACAATTAATTTCTATAAATGTGCGTTATCAATAACTTAATGGTATTCCTTCCGATATCCAAATTTGTTTGGTTTTTTTTTTTTTTTAATGTATTAAAAAGATAATAGGAATATTTGACAAATATTTTGTGAAAAGCATACTTTGCAATTAAATTCTACCAACAATAATTCACATAGCGAATTTTTATTAAGAATTTGATCTATAATAAATTCCGCCTAAAATAATAAAAGTAAATAAAATTGAACAGAGCAAAAAGCAAATTTCAATTCTTTCAATCCTTATGATTACGATATTAAATGATAATACTTTGGTGATAATAGAAATCTAAATCAAAATTGAGGAAAATATGAATAATCATTATAAATCACATTATAAATCATTAAATCAAATCAAACATAAAATCAATAAATCAAACACAAAAAATGCAGATACATCTTAAAATACCAACCTGTTCTTTGTAATCGGTGGAATGATGAATAAGAACGTATTTGAGAATTTTCTCAATAGCATTTATAAATTTCCCATATTTCTCTTTAAGTGCTATATTATCAGTTTCAATTATTCGTAAGCTATTCTTACCTTTCCCATATAGTGTCAACCACAGACAAAAAAGCTGAAAATTTCTGAACTTTTTTTTATTCTCTTTAAAGTTGGAAATAATTTATTCGTTTGGCAAAAATATAACCAACTTTTTCTAATCGACTTTTCTCCCGATATTTCAATCCAGGCGGCATTTTCGCAAAATATATCGATAATACCTTGAGAGAACAATCCAACTGACTGTTCCAAAAATCTTCCCGATCGAAATCATTAAATAAGCGATGTAATAAGGCCTGAAATAGGTCGTGCTGCTTCAAATCATATAAGAATATTTTTCATTTCAGTTTCCAGAGAATAATTTCCAGAGAAATTTTTCAGTGGCTTAATTAAGTGCGATATAAAAAATTTTTTCCTATGATTGGTAAATGCACTTAAATAATATGAAATAAGATATAAGAAAAATTGGAAAAAAATGATATTATCAAAAAGTGATCAAAAAATCAATCAATAATCTTTGATTTTACGGATGAATAAGTGCTTATATTCTGATAAAAATTACCTCCCATGGATGTAATAAAATATCAAAAATATGAACTGTAACGGTATGAGAGGCAAATTCTGCTGCTATATCCACAGTTACAGCAAACCATACCGAAAGACGTTCAGCAGATGGATGATACTGAAAAAAAATTTAAATGATTAAGAATAAACTAAAATATATTACAAATGTAACGAAAACGGCGAAAGCAAAAACGCCAAATATATCGATATTTTGAGAGAATTATCCAAATGATAGCCGCAAAAATGGAAAATGATTTTGCACCAGCAACTTGCCTTAAGTATCGGTCAATCAATCATAGTGGTATGGCGAAATTTAGTGGCATGCCAAATGGCGAATATATAAGATGACGGTACCCAAAGAAAACAAAAGAAAAACTGGACAAAGACCTATGAAACATGAAAAAAACATAATAAGATGATGCTGAAGAATGGCTTAGTACAGAAGAACGCTTAGCGCGCGCTCGAAGCGCAAAAAGTATGGAAGCAGGCCGATCCCTTACTTTCGCCATTTCACAACAAGAAAAAATTCCATTTATTCATTACTGAAATAAAACTCCATTTAAAGTGACTTATTTTAAGAATTTTAAGAATAAAACGAATAAAAGAACCTGCATCACTTTCATAAACTGTTTGAGAATATTTGCATAATAATTTTTCACGTTACGAGGTCTAGTAAGAATAACTCGAGCTAGCGAATGAACAAATGCAAAATTATCGAAAAGATCGAAATTGTCTGTAAATTCCATATTAAAAGAGCTTTTTAAAATAATATTTAAATGATTTTAATAATTAAGAATGGTTAATAATTAAACAGAAAATAAAGAATAGGAAATAACAATTAACAATTAATTAATTAACAATTAACAATTAATGCGACAATAATGGCTTGAAATTTGGTAAAAAAGAAAAAATACTCACCTTGAATTAATGATGTTGCTAGGTGATAAATTCCATTTGGTTTCGCGCATAATTTGCTTAGTTTCCCGCTAAGTGAACGCTAAATAGTTAAAGTGTCTAAAATAATTGCTACTAATACATGAAAATTAAATGTACAAAAACCGGAAAATAGGGAACGAATAAAAACAGAATAAAAAAATATTCAAATAAATAGAATGGTTAATAATTAAACAGAAAATAAAGAATAGGAAATAAAAGCAAATTAACAATTAATGCGACAATAATGGCTTGGAATTTGGTAAAAAAGATTAGATTTAGAATCTTAGATTAGATTTATACAAGTTATATATCCCTTTAATCTTATCCCTTCTTTGAAGCTTATAAAATCGTAATGTGTCGTTTCGTTAAGCTCTACATTAATATTTTCTTCAATATTTTCCCATATCATGCTACCGTCATACTCTACGATTTTCTAACTGAATGCTGCCGAATTCCCGAAATCTCTGCCCACAATCCTTAATCATCTCCTAAAAGTTATATAATTCGTATATAGTTAATAATTATATAATTACAAAAATAATTACAAATAATAATAATTATAAATAATGTATAATCACAAATATATGAAAATTATTAATCGGCTTAATGCCTAAAAGCTCACCTTTAACCAGTTAGGTGAATCAATGCGTTTTTGCTTTAAAGAATACCCATTGATGACCGTAAAAAATGCGCGAATCAGTATTGGCCTGGAAAATGAAAAAATGAAAAAGAGAAAGAATAAATAGGAAATTTATAAAACACTGTAGCATTTCAATAATGCTAATGCTGATGTCCCATTAACATTTAAATATTGAATGAAACCATTTAACCTGAAGACTTCATTTGTAAGAAATTCTTCATATTTATTTAGTAGTGACATTTCATTCAATTCAATTAGCTGCAAGTTAAATCGATTAAAAAGGTTGATTTAACAATGCTGATTTTATTTTTTATAAATACAATAATTTTCATGAAATACCTGTTCGTTCACACATATTACATCACATAAAAATTTATTTATAATAAGCATTTTCACCGAATCGCACGATTCAAGCAACAGAAAAAAAGTGTTTGCTGCAGAAATTAACTGAAATAATTAAAAATTTAGTTCAAAAAATTATAAATGAAAATAGGTAAAATGTAGAATAAAATTAAATAAAAGAATTATACTTAACTTGTTTTATGCGAAATTCCGAATCATTGCGAAGTGGTTTCCAAAATTGAATAAGATTTGATCGTAACTCCATGGGAGTGCCGACTCCTAAGCAGATTTTCTTCTCGATAAAATATGAATTAAATTAACAATTGACTTGCTATATGTGCCAAAAAATAATAAAAAAACACAAACCTTCATCGAGGTATGGCAAAACTGCTGTTGCAATAAAAAACTGAAGAGCTGAAGAAATATTATTCAATTTCTTCACTGATAAAACAATCGATGAATCATCGACTTTGCAATTTTTAATATGGTTACAGATCTAAACTATTAAATGTAATAAGCAAATAGTGTTATAGTGAATTGCAGTGATTTTTTGTAATCTGATAAAATTGATTAAAAAATTTCTTAAATAAAACACTTTAGCATTAAATTTTACTCGTAATCTGCCTAGTTACATGGTGAGAACATATGCAATCACCTAGAACATAACTTTTGATACTGTAAAGGAATAGTTCGAAAATGCAATCGAAATTTATCACAATTTATCAACTGAATCATAACTAAATATACAATAATAATACAAAATACCATAGAAATTTCTAAACTTTTTTAGTATAAATTTATTCGAATAAATGACTAAATTAATTAAATTAAAAAAATAATGAATTACAATCACCGTTCAGAAACTGCTGATAAAGTTTACTTACCGTGCTAAATAATTCTGTAACCAGATTTGAATAACGAATCCTTGAATCGAAGGTAGAATCTTTGGAAATACTATCAGCACTAGTGGAAGGCTGATTACAAGATTGCGATGAAATTAAAATTCTAAACCCAGCAGCTTTCATCTTTGTTTCTAAATTATCAGCTAACGATTCCAAAGGATCATAAGGATAAATTTTTGTTTTCATAAATGGGATATCTGAAAAGCGAAAAAAACATTAGAAAAAGTCTGGTAATTTTCGTTTTCTTCATTTAACATCAATGTTTATGTTCATTATCCCCAACTTTTACTTCTAATACTTATGATTAACTTATTTACTTATGCTTGTAATAATTAACTTTTACTTCTAATACTTTTGACTTCTCTAATTCATCACATCAATTTCTAATACTAATATCAATTTCGCTTATATATAAAAATGATTTAACTAAATTAAAATTTACCCGCAGAAGTCGCACATTCAAGTAAATCGAAACACTCGTCCATCTTTTTATTCAGGAATAACCAGCAATGTAATAAATTGAGTTATCTGGAAATACCAAAATTTAACAAATCTGGCATCAACAATTCTACCACATTTTTAATACTACTTCCTTAAGAAAAACTAAGTTCGACAATTCAATAAAATCTGACAATCGCAAATAAATGATGAATATCTTTCATTCCTATGGTTTAATGCGCTTATTTCACAATTTTCTTGAAGAAATATCGCAAATACCCATAATTCATTTATAATTATCTCGACATTTCCTTATAAAATAGCGCTTATTAAAAATCTCATCTCCAACTCGAATAGAAAAATTTTATATTGAAAACTATAACACCTTTGATTAACTAAATGAAACTTTCTTTTTTGGATTTCTCTAGCACATTGAAAGATTTCACATTGAAATCTTTTAAATGCTTGCTTAAATTTCGAAGATTATTTTAAATTTATAATTTAATAAGCATTTAATATTGAAAAATATTTCAATTAAATGCTTATCAAACTTTGCACTTAAATGGAAATATTTGTACTCGCTATTTATACTGGTTTTTTATCGAATATCATCAAAAATATGTTAAAATTATTTTATTTACCAACATTAAACAGTGTTAAACAAATTTAAAACAATGAGCGATGTATGATATACAGTTTTGCGTTAAACCTTATTAAAAGCAACAATATCAACAGATTGTACTAAATCTTCGAAACCTGTAATCTGCTCTTCAAGCCAATCCGAAGAAACTTTCTCATCTTCAACAACACAGCAGATCTACAATAGGCAATAAGAATAATAATATTGGGATGATGAAAGAAAATGTGATATATAAACTGATAATATGGGTAAGGCTTTAAGTAATCTATCTGCCATATTTTCTCCTATTTGGAAAAAACTGAGGTTGGACAATTCGGGGCTAAATTATTGCTACCAAAAAAAGAATTTGTTTATATTTTAATATTTCTTTTAATATTTTCAATCAAGTTCAACCACCAAAAATATTAATAAAAGGAATGGAATAAAATGAAACACCTGTAATTTATTGATTCCAAATGCTACAGGAAGAATTTTTGCTGTTCCCCAAACTAAACCATCGATTTCTATCGATCGAACATTTGTTTCTATATCTTGTAAAGAAATAGTGTCATCCCATGGCTTGACATCAAAAATAATGTTCGATTTTGCGACACCAGCAGGTTTGCCAGCTTTCTTTTCTGCATAAGCCTAAAATCTTCTTAATATTATTAACATCAAACATTGAATGAATGAAATAATTCAAAAGCACCATGCGGAATTTTTACAATAATTAAATAAAATAAAATTCTTTACTTTAAGTCTTTCAGCCGTAATACGGGCTTTTTCATCATCTTCCTCTTCATCATCAGAACCAAAAAGATCGAAATCGTCTTCATTTTCAGCTTTTTTTTCTTCTGATGAAGTTGCACTGGGCCATCTAAAAGTATATTTAAGCATAAAAAATCAATGCTTCACAAGTGCCACAAGCTAAATGAAAACTGTTGTGTTATTCATAATTCATTATTTTTTAAATGGTCGTATTAATATTCGACTGAGCATGAAAATTTGAATTCTTTTCCGATAAAAATCATTAAAATACAGAAGTGTTAACAAAAGAAATCATTGGAAAAAAATAATAATAATAATAACTTACAACTTTTTTTCATCATCACTATAACTTTGTATATTCTTGTACCATCGAGCTATATAGGCATATTTCTTTCCATCAGGAATGGAATTAAACCGTGAAAAAAGGCAAGCATCCTCACCGGTTAAGGTGAACCTAGAATTTTGAACAAAAAATAGCAGTTACAGAATTAAGAAAGAAAAAAAGATTTGAGTCTTGTTTATTTTTGCTTCAACCCAGTTACACTGTAATGAATGATGAATTTCATCACATTTCATTAGCATCCTGTTATGCCAAACCAAATCACTCCTTCAAATTCTTCTCGTATTCCCTCTCTCCTTATATTCTTTTAATATCTCCATAACAGATATATTCATCTAATTTGTTATTATATTTAATTATTATATTTTAATGATTATTTTAGGTCAAAAATAAATTCTCGCGGTACCAAACTGTTAATGACGCTAATATTTAAAAGCTGCGCAAAGCTGCCCAAACTGCAAAGATTAATAGACACTAAAATTTTTTTTCGGAGTTGGTGATAAGAGGGATGGCTTTAGGCTTACTAACTATTTTACCTTAAAAATTATATTATTTTACTGATTAAACGGATGCCTACATTGTATTTGGTCGAAATCTCAATAAATTTTCGTAATTTTTAAAATTATAGGAACAAAATTTATTAAATTAGATTAAATTAATTTAAATAATTCAATCCTATTAAACCATTTTAAATTTATTAAATTTAAATTTGACGATTACTACGAATAAACGACAAAAATTTCAAATTTCATATAAAGAAGAAGCAAGGAATCAAAAAAACGAGAAAATACCCGGTAACGAAAGCGTTATCAGCAAGATAACCGTTTAGCGTGATAAGATCATTCTCTGTTTCAATGTTAAACATATTTGACTCCTTCTTTAAATTAAATCTTCACAGCCTAAAAAAATTTAAAATGCTTTTTGGACTTGAAAAAAAATTGTGATTTTTCTTCAACGACGAACTGTTTTTTTAAAATATAAACCCACTGCTTAGTATTTTCATTCGCTGAATTCCTAATTACAAATATTAAATATCAAATCAAATTCGAGTTCTAAGTCGACGAAAAAACCCGCCTATACCGCCTCCGACCTACCAACATCAACCACAAAACCAAAAATTCTCCCCCACTCGCTTACCGCTACTCTCATCTTCCAAGCACAAAAATTTCCATATAGGAGCAGTTGGCACAATGCCCATATTTGATTTAGGCGGTAATTTAATTTTTGGTTTCTTTTTATCACAATTGTTGTCATATCAGTGACGCGCAATCAGTTCTGATGCGAAATGCGGCATTTTATTGTCATTATTACGATTAAAAACAAATTGTTTGTCCAACTAGTGCCAATTAGAAAATTTATGATTCATCGTGTATCTCAAGCAGATTATTGAACTGCCAAAGGCTCGTGGAGGGGAGGGGAGGGGGAGGGGGGTGCTTTCTTCAGGTCATCCACCTCTTTTAGCTTTCATCGCCCCGTTTTTTTCGTCCTAAATATCATCGATTACCAACAATCCCTATTTTTATAAGAATTGTTGCTTGTCAAATAAAATAAAATTATTTTATAATTCATTTCTTCAAATCCTTCCAAAATTAAGGAAGTCATCTTCTGTTTTTCTACGATGCAAGCACTCTTCCAGCTGCAAGAACGCTTCGATCATACACCAATTTAACAGCCAGCATGATACCTGCTTTGGCTACTCCGCTGCCTGCAACCGTGCGATGCTTCAGTCGGACGCTGAAACTGCGTCCATCAGTTCAGTTATGAGCTTTGCTTTGGCTGGATTTGTGCAAATGTGTTGAACTTATACCAATAGACTCAACAAAAGCCATAGAGGCACTAAGGTCGCAAAGGAAAAAATAAAAAACAATCGAAAATGAGGATTTGAAAAAAATGTAAAATGTAGGAACAATGAAAATATTACAATTAAATTGCGATTAATGCGGATGGCACTACGTTTATTTTCGAAAAACCTAAGTGAACTGCGGCACTTGTCAAGCGAGAAAGGAGATAATTATATATAATAATTGCAATTTATTGGTTAATTTATTAAAATTATAAATATAATAATTATATGCTAAATTTTTAAATTGAAAGAAAATTATGTAAATTTATTCGAATTAATAAAATTATGAATAAATAAAAAAAGATATCAATTTTACCTTTAAATGCGAGAAGAAAAATACTGTTGTAAGAGAGAAAAAAATATTTTTAATTATTATTATTACTTATTATTTGATAAAAGTTATTATTATTATTATAAATCATTATTGTTTGATTAAAAAATTAATTTTATAAGTCTGAAAAAAGTAAAATGGTAGAAAGGAAATTTTTTTCCAACTTTTGTTTTATTCTTTAACTTATTTTTTAAATTAAATTTAAAAATATGGCTTAATATTTGATATAAAATTCGAAAATTTAGTCCACTTTAGAAGGATTTTTCCACAAAATAACGGGAAAAAACTAAAGAGAATTAAAAAGATAATTCTAACGATGAATAGCGATGCGACCTCTTATCATTTATCTTTAACGATGAATAAAGCTGAAAGCAATTTTTTTATCAAATTATTCAAAATTTTTTTGCTTCATAATAAATCTAATAATAGAAATCTATTATTCCATAATGACAGGTTGATAGTAAAAAATAAAAAATGACTTAATAAAAAACTTTGAACTGGGAAAGACTAAATTAATTGTTACCAATAAGCTTTTATACAGGCTAATCGATCTTTTTTTGGCCCAACTTTAATGCGACTAATTCCAATGGTTTAAAACTTCCATCTCACCGTTTTGTAATAATAATTATTGTCATTAGTTTAGCAGTTTAGCATCGATGAATTATCTAAGGAAACCGTAAAAATCTGAGAGATTTTTCCAAGAATTTAAGTAATCGAAATTTTTCAGTTGTTTGAGATGGAAATCTTTATTGTTTTATTTCGTTTTTTAATCTGCAAATATTGTTTTCTTGTTGATATTTGAAGAGAATTATTGGTGAATTTGGTCACAAAAATGGTTATTTGAAGTAAAATTTAAGGACGATTGACCTCAAATTCCGCGCTTATAAGGAATACGACTTCTTCATTTGGCCATAGCGAATGAACATCGAAATGGTCGGCCAAATTAGTTTTCCCCCCAAAAATTGCATTTTGCTACATATATTCTTCTTCTGCATAACCATTATATACTTTATTGTATTTTTTCTGTTATATTCCAGAAATTTATCGCAGAATGTGGATCGATTTAATTTATTAATTTACTAAGTACAAACTTGATCGCCTCGAGTACCATAATAATGCAGTGATTAGTCAATTAGCTGAAGAATATATATATTTTATATATATGGAATATATTAAATATTTACGTGAAATTAAGACCAATACTTCACAAGATTTCTGTTTTTTTATCAGTTTTTGTCCATTATGCGTTTACTTTTACAGCAACTTATAACTTTTCCTTGCCCGCACTTCTTAATTTTACTAAAAACCAATAAATCTGCTAACGTTTGGATAATGAAATATATCTGGGCAAGGAATAAGAGAGAGAGATTTATATAATAGCAAAATATGGTACCTTAAGATTGATTCAAGGAGCAAACGGATATTGGATATTGAACAAATAAAGGTTTTTAGAAGTTGTACCCAAACCTTCCACAGAGAGAGCGCACTGGTTCTGTGAGATTGTGGATTTAATTGTGGATTTCTTTTTCTATCCCTTTTGTTTATTGTTTTGCATTTCACGTTTTGAGAGATTCATATAATAGCCTGTGGGGAAAATGAGGGATCCACAAACTATTAAACTATTAAAAAAATATATAGATATATATAGTCTAATATCAGCCAGCAAATAAATTGCCTTAACTAGAAAGTTGCTTTTGCCTTGTAAGGCTCAATTATTAGGTACCAATTTTGAAGAAACATAATTCTAAAACAAAGTCTTGATTAAAACAATTTTATCTGGAATATAATTTTATCTGGTCTAATGAAAGAAGTTCTTGCTTGCTTCTGCTAAGGTGAATAGGCTAGAGCGAATATTGCACCAGGTAATATTGATGTAGGTGGCAACATTTAAATGGTCCTTTCACCAGCGAATCAGCTGGAAATAAAAGTGATGCAATATTTTCAGCTGCCGCCAGGATTTCATTTTTAATCACAGGCTTATTCCTATGAGAATCAAGCTTAGGCAATAGAAATCGAAGTAGTTTCATTTTTATGATTTATTGTTTGATCGCTATTGTTTTTTTTTTTTTTAAAGTCCTCACCATTACTGGTTAAACTCGCTCCACTGGCTTGTTGCATTGGGCAATATGCTAGAGAATGCCTTGGCGATAGAAATACAGGTGAGTCGCCAGCATCATCCGGATTTTGTACAGGCTTACTTCTGCAGGGAATCCAACCTTAGCATCGGCGCTCCCAATTGAGCAACAACCCATTGAACCGTCCTATCTCGTATTTCCCATATTATGTTTTACTGTGTTACGTTTCGAGAAATAATTTAGTAAGAATTCAAAACTTATCGTTAATATAGGAAAATAACCAACGTTAGACATATACCGAGGCACATTTCTGTAAAACTGCTAATTTTTCTCGTTTAAATAATTCATAAATTAATTTATTAACCAATTAATTCAATGAAATGCATGATATCAACCATAATTTGTTCAGACTTCTTTATGACTTCAGCGTGTCAGTGTATATAAAAAATTTTCGTTTATGGGAGCGTTCATCTAACAAAATCTTATAAGTAATATTTTTGTTTGGTTGAAATATTTTTAATATTTTAGTAGTACTTTATTAAGTAATATTGCATAAATGATATTTTTAATCATAAATCGGTTTTGATGATTATTTTTTATATTTTTACCAAATATTTTATTTCTATTTTGAATATTTATTATTTATTTATTTTCAATTTTTAATTTATTAGTTTTATTAACCATTTAATTTAATTTTGACTTATTAATTTTTATTTTTATTTATGTTCATATTGTTTATTAGGAATATTTTGTTTTTAAATTAATTTTAATAAATTCATCATGCCTTGTTTTTTGTCGATTTGCCTTTTTTTAGTCCTCAAAAGTGATGCTACTGCCAGCGATATCAAAAACGCCTACATAAAATTTGCTTAATTTGACTCTAACATTGTTCTTAAAGAGATCATCCTTTTCTTTTGATCTTCCACAATTTCTTATTTTTAAATTGCCAATGCTAAATTTTAAATGCGAATAAGTTTTTGGTTTTTTTCGCATATTCAATCATATTCATCGTTCAGTTCGCAAAGCAATATCACCCCAATGATCCATCCACTTGCAGGTGTTTTCAAGAAATTTGCGAAGCTCACGGGGTTTCACTGTTATTTGTTTATTATTGTTATTTTCAAGTTTATTGAGTTGTCCTTTGTGATTTATTATCATTTCTTTTCAATGTGTCTAGTGATAAAACAAAACGCACTCAATATGATAATCATGGATCGAGTTCGTTTTTCAATCAACGAGGTGGAGAAAATCAAACATCAAATGAGTGGATTCATAATCTGAAAGTTCTGAAAGGTTATTCAGCGAAATGTTTAGAAAAAGTTTCGTTTTAAAATTTTTTAGACAAAAACTCAGGAAAAAATATGATTTTATTCGTTGTTAACAAAAGTTTTATTGGTTATATTAAATAATTTTCGCATAAAATTTATAAATTTTTGTAGAAAGTCCGTAAGATTCTCGGAATCGTTTTAATGATTTTACCGGTAGCTTTGGAAATGAATTCGTTTAAACCCACTATTTGAAACTCAGCAATATGTAGTGGAACTAGCGAATTTGAAGAAGCAAGGAGTCATCAAAACAATATCAGTGAATATTCATGAAGAATATAAAACGTATCATGGGTATTCTGGAATTCAACCTGGAAATTAAAAAAGTTTTAAAAAAGTTTGATATTTCATCGTTCTGAGAAAAAAGTGTTGATTTCGCGCATTTAAATACTACTCGCCAACATTCCATCGTTAATATTTTTGCTAGAAATCATACTCTCATTACGATGGTACTGGCACGTTGAAAAAGCGTACGGAAAATCTTTATATGCAGGCCACATATAATTATTGTCGAGGATCTGGCCTTTTTAATAAGAATCAAGTAAGATTAATATTTTTTTTCGTTGGACGGGAATGAAAAGAATTGATCGTTTTTTAAAATTTAAAATCTTTGGGTCAATGTTTGTATTTATTTTTCAGGTGCCTGGAATAGAGGATATTAATATTTATATACAGATTCCACCTGGAACTGGTTCCCATAAACTTCGACTTATAGGCAAAGGCATAAAACGGTTGAACCAAACTGGTCGTGCTGATTAATATATAATTATTAAAATAGTAGTGCCCAAGTAATTTTAATTTTAAAATTTATTTTTATTTGTATCTAACTTTTGTATTTATATTCGGCTTATCAGCTACGTTTTTTAAACTATTGATGATAATATTATATGCTCGAAGTTTGTTGGACCTATTCAACGAATTATAAGATTATAAATTATAATTATCGAAATATTATAATTCGAAATCCTTAAGTTCAAATTATAAAGTTACTTCTATAAATTTTCGTTGGTTTATTTTATAATCTTAAAGTATGATTATTTTCAGGAATTTAGAAAGTTAAACAAAAAGCATTGATACAAGCGTGGAGCGAGCGAACTCGAAGGCACTTCAGGAACTGTAAACCAAATATCGCAGAAATCTTTATGTCATCAATGTTCGCTCGCTATTTTCTGTTTATTTTAATATTCTCTGTTTTCATTGTTTCCGTTTTCGAAATGCGCTTAGGTGATATTCTTATCAGTGATTTTATTTTCATACTGTTTTATCATATTGATTTTACCATGGGACGGAATCTTCAGGAACTATAAATGGAATCAAATATTGAATTGATGGTCACTTCTCAGAAGTTTTAATATATTTTTATAAGCATTTTTTATTTTTATTAGTATAATAATTTTTACATTTTATGATTATGAAAATTCTATTCTCCTCTTCGAAAATTTATGGGAAATGAGCGGTCGGAATTTGTCAATGATGAAAATTTGGTCCCTACAGTCAATCATTATAAAATGAATCTTCGAAAAATTTCGATGCAAAAAGTTTAATCGAGTGGTATTTAAGATAAATCATGCATCCTACTTGTGTATTTCTCAACAATCAGGGCACTAGTGAGATTGGGTTCGTTGAAGGGATTGTTAATACGGTTGGAAATTTTTTGCTAGGTATCGCTTGGTGTAGCTGAGTCGCCTGTTTCTTAAATGACATAAGATTCCGAACCTCTGATGATCGATACAGCCACATCACTTGTCTATTCCTTCCCTATTGTCTAGAATGTTCATTGATTGTACAACTGTGTTAACCATTTATGCAACAAGATCTGCGGAATAAATAAATGATTGATAATGATTGCTTAATAGATTTTCAGGCTCAAAATTTAATATCGATCGTTTGGAAGCGTTTTGCGAGATTAAAGATGCCCTATATAAGATAGATCACCCAAGAGGCAAAACATCTCAAAATCGCCGATCATTCGATAGTGGAACTATTAGCGAAAATGATGGCGACGGAAAGGAATATAAAGGCTATTCACCATCAGTGGGAATCCCGGTGAGACTAATAGCGAAAACGAATAAGTATGTGAAGCACCATCCTAGGAGTCGCGTTCATCCCAAAGACAGTGAAAATGAAAGTGCGTGTTTTTGCGTGTTTTTTATTTCTTTAAATATGGATGAGGTGTATTCATATAAGATTCTCCTTTTAGTTCCAAGCTTCCTTTCACCATTTTTTCTATTTTATTCTAGGTTTATACCAAATATCGCAGAAATCTTTATGTCATCAATGTTCGCTCGCTATTTTCTGTTTTCATTGTTTCCGTTTTCGAAGTGCGCTTAGGTGATATTCTTATCAGTGATTTTATTTTCATACTGTTATCATATTTATCATATTGATTTTATCATATTATATCATATTTTATCATATTGATTTATCATATTGATTTTACCATTCATTTTTATTTAAAACTAGTTCTCTGTTTCCAGATTTTTCTATACTTTAACAATACAATCAGTAGATATCTTTTAATAATTCTTCGTGTCAAGTATTAGTCAAAGTATTATACTATTGCGAAGAGCAAAATTTGCCGATATATTTGCTTGCTTAAAGTTTGCTTTGCTTTAATGTCACTGGAGGCATCATGGATCGCATCTGTGGTAGTATTCTTAGCGGTAGTCATTCTGTTCTGTTCCAGTGATGCATAGAGTTTTAAACCCGCCCGTTTTAAACCTAATAGTCTTATTCCACTTTTAACTATGGGAAATATTTTGATAAGCAGAGAAGGGCCGATTCCATGAATTCACGCTTCATGGTTCGAAGCTATACCGCTCGATGTTTACTCAAATATTCATTCAATTTTTAAAATTCCTATAGAATTTAAAAAAGTTTTCTTCATAAAATTTTGAAAATGCCCTCCAAGATTCCAAACCTGCTTCCTTATTTTAGGTTAAATATGATTCAGATCCATTTCGTTAATTGGCTAAACAGAAGAAAAAGATGCTGAACTATGGGCTTAAGCAAAATCCCAGAAAACTTGAGAGTAGAACCTCAGCACCATCATTCCGAATTGAGCAATAAGCCCTACTGAACCATTCTATGCATTTATTGGTAGATCACTGTAGTTCACTATTTTTTTTGATTCTGAATATACTCTTAGGTTTGCAAGAAAATAAATCTTTTTATTGAAAAATTTAGAAAAATCTTTTATTTTTTCATAAAAATAAACTTTCGTGGAAAAATTTATTGACGAAAAAAAACTGAAAGTGAACAAAAAAAGATTTTCAATCATTTTAATTAATTAAAACTCGAAAAAAATTGTTCAATACTATGTTTTTTTTTTTTAACAGCGCTCAATATTTGGCTCATTCCACTAATCGTTAGGATAAACCCTTCCATTAGAGAGTACCATTACCGAGGATTTTAAATAGATTTATTCCTGTAAATAGATTTAAAGAGGCACGAATCGAAGCCATTATGATTGATTACAGTCGAAGCTCGATTCTATGGGAAGTAGGAATTTATGAGTTGTCAGCTTAAGTGTATTTATACTTTATGCATATTTATCAGAATTTATATTACAAATGTGAGAAAATCGTTAAGTAAATTGATTATTTATTTATTCACGTATGAGAAAACAATTTTATGAGAAAAACTAATGCAAACTAATTAATTATATGTTAGTTCGTTATCAGTTATTATAATATCATAATATTTATCATTATATATATATATATATATTTGTATTGCTGGCTTACTGGATTAGAGAAATTTTGCCATCACGTTAATCTCACCTACAATATTAAATTAAAATCTAAAAAAATTGAAAAACTGAAACCGAGATCACAAAAATGTCTTTAAACCATTCAGCTTAGTTTCGGTGACAAGAATCTCGCCTATAATATCTCTTAACATATTAACATCTCTACTCGTACCGTTAATCACCCTACAACTGATAATACCCAACGTCATATGACATAAATCCAAACCATTTATCAATAAAAACTCCCCACCCGAAGACAGGGAATCCAAAAAATAGCTAGCAACATACATTGCTCCTGTGCACGGAAATCTTTAGTAAAAGGCGAAAGATTTACACGGCCAAATGCAGAGGAACAAGTGCATTGGACCTGCGGCAGCGCCAATGCAATATTCATAGAATTTTTTCGTTGATTATTGAATGGGTTATGTCAAATATCAGAGAAAAAAACGTTTCTCTAAATATATTCGTTTAATATTATAAAAAACAAATTATTTAAAAATATAGTAAATTAAAATAAAACATGAAAAATAAAACAATAAACAATCAACAATTAATTATTTCCGGTTAGGCTTATTCTGCAGTTAGGCCGTTAACGCCATCCGAATTTTGCAAAAGAAGCGTTTAATTTTGCCGTTTGTAGAACCGCATCATTGGTGCTCCAAAATGTCAGCAGCAAGCCCAATGAGCTGCTCCCGTTCTACTCCCATCAGCGTATATAACTTGAAAAGATCCTTTCAGATCCTTTTATAATGGATTTAAAACGATCATAACGAATATAAAATTTACAGTAATCAAGCAACAATGATAAAGGATGATAATGATAAGATTAAGAAATAGACAAAGACAAAAGTTGGGCAATACTAAGAATTTAGAATTAAACGATGAAGTATTCTTTCAAAATGCTTTTTTCACCGCAAAATTACAGTGAAATATAATAAAAATGTGAAATAAAGTGGATCGAATGAAAGCGATACAGGACGCTCACTTCTATTGTTAAATGCTTTCCTCGCTATTTTATCGAAATAATCTAAAAAAATAAATTAAGATGAATAAACCTATTCAATAAACTGCATATCATGGAAATTCCGTTTAGCTCACCAGATTCCGGCAGTGACACTCGGCAACACTGAACACGCTCGACTTGATCCGGACGGTACCCATGTCTTGTCGAGAAGGATTCCGCAAAATATCACCATCGTATCAGTCGACTTCCACACTCCACCGTTTTCGAAATGAATTTGTCGAATATTTTGTCGCATCCGAAAGATTGGTTTAGTTCAGATAGTTCAGAGAAGATTTAAGCTACTTTTTTTCCTTTAAATAATGATCTAAATCTAACAGATTTTCTGGTGTTTTTTTCTACCCTTGATTAGCTTTTCTTCATTTCCATAACGGCTTTATCATTATCAGATGAATAAATCTCCTTCTGTAAACCAGCGCGACGCCATCGTGCTAGCGAACATACCACAAATCCACTGCAGGACCAAGTTCGGAAATTTCTGATCGCATATGACAGATATTGGTAAGTGAGAAAAATTTTTAGTTTGCAGGTCCAAAAAATACTGAATTCTACGAATTCTCTTAATCGATCATTGAGTGGCATGGCATGGTACCACAGATGACTCCAAATTTTTATTCTTCGACAAGTCAGCCTGCGACAACAACAAGAACAGATCTTATCATTCGAAGACTCAAGAATGGAATGTGGATCAGGAAGCAAAAGTCAACTCCAATGATAAGCGGATTATCTGGATAGTGGACAATGGATAACGGGCCTGCAGGAAAGCTATAAAAACGGTCGAGAAGGTTGTTTTTCAAAGATATTTCTTTTATTTTCTAAAATCTCTAAATAAAGCACCACGTGTTTGGTGTTTAGTTCATTGAAATTCTTTTAGCATATTGCACTTTTTTAAGCATTTTGCACATGCCTAAGAGCCAAATGCGCCAAAAATGGCTATCTGAAACATTCGATATCATCTAATACTTCAATACTTTTGCTGCCCTTCATCAGTAATCAGCAATTTGTTCAAAAAAACATCGAGAATTTTCAAAATCTGAGAATTGTACAACTGATGCCTGGAGGATATTATTTTTGACCATCACATATTTATGGGTTGGCCGAGCCAATAAAATCTCACATAATTAATTGCATCCAGCTTCGCTCATATACCACCTTCATTAACAGTGCTATCACAGAGTATCGCTGATTAGGGGGTATGTATATCGTCGCCCACCACAAATGTTTACACATATTTCGTTATTTGCTAAATGCTAAGATGGATGGCATCAAAAGCGAGGTGAGCTAATCGAGATCTGGAGTGAAAGGTTTTGAACGTGTAGATGGACCAACGTATATGGACTTAGACGGTGGAAAAATGAATGTTCTATTAATTTCAACGATGGTGTCGGATTGAACAGCTTGGAGATGTCTTGTCTTATAGCCAGTGGAACCACCCTAACCAATAATGCTGAGAATTACCGATTTGGGTTTAAAGAAAAAAATTGGCCAAAAATTCAGTTAACACTGGAAAAACATTGCTTGCTTCTTACTGACAATGCGATTCCTAACTGAATCTCACCATAAAGTCACCATCCATAAAATTCCAATTACAGATAATCACGTCAAAACAAATAATCCGGTTAAATCTACTCTCGTAGACGGCAGTTTTTCCCTCCATTTTTAAAATTTTAGCTCCAATTTTAAACGACAAAAATTAAATTTTATTTATTTAATTGATAAAACTTCTAGTAAAATATTAAATATATCAATTCCATAATTACTCTTAAACGCAAATTCATTGATATCTAAGGCGATTTCTTTCCGATTAGTACCTTTTTTTCTTAAAAGTCTCTTAGAGGTGGACCACAGATTTTCAAAGTTTTATATAGTAAATGAGTCAGTCCATGGTCCATGAAAATTCAAGCACTATTATTAAGATCACTCATGAGAGATAAAAAAGAAAAATATTGTGTCATTTTTAAGGATAGATGAAAAAAAATTTATTTAATAGGGAATTTAATAGGGAAAAAGGAAACAAAAAATATTTATGGGAAAATATTTTGGCGGGAAAGTTTGGCGGTAAAAATTGCCGTCTATCAAAATTAGATTTAACCAGTAATCCTCCATTCATTTGCGAGATGATCCAATCTGTTGGTAATAATAATATTACAGTATAACAAATAATTATTCTCGTTGACTCGTAGCATTTATACAAATATATAAATTAATAAAGAAAGAACTGTGGACCAGCTAAACGAAAAGTGCAATTAAATCAATCATTTTTGCATTTTCTGTGACCTTTTTTTTGATATCTTTTTTCTAAAATATTCTAATAATATGGAGCTGCTAAATTTTGGTATAAAGCTGTAACATTCTTATTGGTGAATTTCTTAATTTTTAAATTTTTAAAAAGGTAAAAATTCCTAACATTTTGCATATTTTTTTGCTTTTTTTCTTTCTCATCGATGGTTTTTTTCAAAAATTTTTATAAATTTGATTTCTCTAAAATTTATAAGAAAACTGGCACATTTGCTTATATCGGAAAATTTTTTTGTTATTCATTATTATTTATTATTATTATTTATTATTTTTATTTATTATTATTAAGTATTATTATTTATTATTTTTATTTATTATTATTTATTATTATTGTTTATTATTTTTATTTATTATTATTAATACTATTATTAAATGTTGTTTATTTATTATTAATTATTGCTATAATAATTAATGATAATATTAAATATTATCATTAATATTAATTATTGTAGTATTATTAATATTATTGTAGTATTTACTATTTTTTCTTCTTCTAAAATCTCTCAGCATTAGTGGTTAGGTTGGTTCCGCTGGCTACAAGGGTGAGGCGTCTGTGAGCTCTGCCGCCGTCGCTCACCAGTTATAGAAGCCATTCCTTTTCCCCTAGTCTAAGTCCATATATCGCTAGTCCATCTATAGTTCTATCAACTGAATCGAAGACAGCTGCAAAATCGATGAAACATGGTTATGGTGGGTTGCAGATATTTGAAGCATTGTTCGAGCACTCTTCTTAATATGACTATGCGGTCAGCACGCAGACCGCGCTCTGGCCTGAATGCTACTTGATTAGGGCGCTTCTATGGGTAAGGCTGCCTATTACAAAATTCTTCCAGCGGCAACTGACTGAGTTATAGTCAGTCCAGTTGATTATCCGGAAAGTTCCAAGTGATTAAATGTTTTATCCGAGTGATCCAGAATTGGCTTATGCTTATAATCCGAGATCACAGATGTCTCGTATCCCAGAGATACGCGACATTTTTTTTTAAATAACCTTCACCATTACTGGTTAGGCTCGTTCCTCTGGCTTGTCGAAGTACATAAATATGCCTTGGAGTTCCTCTGCGATAGAAGTACAAGTAAGCCGCTAACATCACCGATTATTGGACAAGTCTGCTCCTAGCTGGAATAGGAGCTCTGGATTGGTGGTCCGAGTTGTGCAACAATAATGTCATGGATGGTTCAGTGGCAAGATAACTGCCACTGGAATCGAGGAGGCTTGGATTTGAATAGACCCACCACACTTCGTCGGATTGCATCTAACAACGTCGTCTGACGAAGAAAGCAAAGGAAAGTAGAATGGTTCAGTGGGTTGTTGCTATTGACATTTTTATTATTATTTTATTAATATTATTTATTACTATTACCATTATTTGTTATTATTATTAGCAGTAAGTGAAACGTCTTTGGTGAGAGCTTTTAGAAGAAGAAGAATAATTAATAACAATAATAGTATTAATAATAGTAATTAATAAGTAAAAAAGCACCACCTCCTGTGGGTGGTCTCATCCTCAATCTCGGACTCTCAACCAAAAACTTAGGAGATGAGGGTTCTGCCTAGTATCTTAGCTGTTCCTGATAGTGCGCTCTTCTAGATAGAGATCTGTGCCTGGAATCTACTGAAGTCACTTTTTTAATTTAGGGGTCACAATTCTAAGTACTTCAATTATCACTGGAATTATTTTGGTCTTTATTTTTCACAGCTTCTCTAATTCTTCTTCCAACCCTTGATACTTCCCTAACTTTTCGTATTTTCACTTCCTAATGTTCCTTTCACTTGGTATATCTATCAACAATGCTAATTCCTGATTGTTGTCCAACCGCAATGTCTGATAGATTAGATAATACTTATTTATCTCTTTGGATGGAAAAGCTCACAAGATCTTCGTACTATTATTATCTACGATTTTCTGAAGAATATCCCATTTGTTTTGGGAGGATCCAAGCCATATACCGACTAGATGTTCCTGTAAATAATATCTTGGTTATACCTTTTGTATTAAATTTAGAAATGCAGTCAAGTAAACCGACAAAAATAAATGAAACAGTGGACATCGACAATCTAAGAAATGAAATCGCGAAAATTGGTTTGTTGTTTAAAACTTTATTTGAATTTTACTTCTTTTAAAAAAAATTTGTTTTATATAATATATTTATTTATTTATTTATTTATTGATAACCAACCAAGCAGGGCGACAAGGCCATGTGCTTGTATTAATAATAACAATTAAGATAACAAAAAAAGAAAACACAAAACAAAAAAAAATATATATATATAACATAAACAAAATTAACTATAAAACAATATGATAGAAATTAACAATTTAAAGAGGAAATTACAGATCAATATAATATAGTACAATTCGAGGTAACATATATAACCTGAAGATAAAATCGAGATTTCTCACTTCCTGCAGTTCTTGCCTGGTGTAAACTCTATAATATATATACAATGTATAGAAAAGATCCTTGTTATGCCATGAGCATCTTTGGTACTTTAGTGGAATCTAGTGTTGAGATGTTGTTGAAAAAACCTATGTATCTCTTTTCTCTATTCTCTTCTTCTTCTTTTTATAGCTGAATGCTGATTGGTTTGACTTCAACATAAGCCATCTCGATCTAATATCTGAAAATAACATAAGCCGCTCCATTTTCTATCGTTTAAGATTAGCTGAGCGATTTATATCTCCAAAAATTTCTTTTAATTGTATCAGTCCGACATTGAGGTTGGAAAACCTCAAGTTTGATTCAATCCATTGCAAGGCTTGAGATTTAATGAAACTTGGTGATTGGCATAATCAGCGTTGATGATGGCATTATCAATGCAAAATACTATTCCAGCGAAGATGAATTATTTGAGGTTCGTTCGGCTACTGCATAAAATGAGGTTCGATGGATTTCTTGAAAACGTTTAAAAATTTCACTTCAGCTGTTGATGGATTAACATTATAGTGTTTCATTATCCTTTGATATAAAGATAAATCTGGCTAAAGTTATCGATGTTTGAGTTATACATTTTTGATCGCCCATCGTAATTCTCAGCAAAAAAGGGTATATTGCCAGCTTATTGAAGATTTATGATTTTATGCTCTTGATTTAGTGAAGATTTATAAAAATTTTTACAGATATTTACAAAAGTGTCCATGAACGCAGTACTACTAAAAAAATGCTCTGAACCTTTTATTTTTCTCATTTATTTATTTACTTATTATTTTCTTATTATTATTCTTATATTCTTATTATTGCCTACAGCATCTTTTCATTGTAAATAATGTTTTAAAATTCTTGATAAATTTTTGATCATTCGGAATTTCTATTTCAGCGCAAAAGTGCGATGAATCTCATCAAAAAATCGATATTTTAACTCATCAAGAACAAGGTTGATAAGTTTATTTAATAACTTTATAAAATATGAATATATATATATATATATATAAAATAATTTGCAAAAATTATTCAAAAAGCCTGGCATTAAGAAAAATCTTTCGCTATTCTTGAAATAATAATTACTGAATTTCATTTTTTAAATTTGATATTTTAGGATTAAAAAAACACAAAATTGAAATGGATTTAAATGCTAATTTATTGAAACAGGAAATAGTTTTTAAACGAGGAATTATTGATCGTATTCAAATAGTTATTATGTCGCAAAAAAATAATATAAAAAGGTGTTTTTGATATTCGATTAAGAAATTTCTTTACAATTATTATTTTTTATCAATTTTATTTTCCTATAAAAATTTTGAGTGATATTTTTTAGTCTCCAGTCATGCATTCAGTTGAATCAAATGCGAAAAGTAGATTTAGAACGAAAATTGAATGTTTTGATTGAGCAGGTCTCTCAATTTTTTTTGTTTAATTTTAAAAATTGGGTAAAAATTAGTGAAAAATCAGTGTTAGTTATGGTTTGATATCTTAATTTTAGAATCGATTAACGAAATTTAACAAGGACAGTCGCTATCAGGATGTATTAGAACGCCTGAAACAAATTTCTGCTCGCCTACAAAATTCACCTTGGGTACTGAAGCGGAAAGAGGCATATATTTAAACATTTAAGACCTCTCGATATAGTAGCATTTTTAATATAAACTTTCTTTTCTCTTCATAACTCAGTAATAATTAAGGATAAAAACCGACTTAACATGCTTAACGATCAATTTCGAAGTTTGCAATTGGAGAAAAATGATATTGTAGCAAAAATAACTTCTATAAAAGAGACAAGTCAGTTCATTGTCAATATTGCTTTAAATTTTTTTATATTCATAAGAGGAAGTCTTATTGAGAGGTTTTTAACATTCGTTTCCAATCTGCTGAACAAATGGAGATTCAGTGTCAAATCAGATTAAATTAGCACATCTCATTATTTATGAATTATTTATAAATTAATATCAATATTAATGAATAAATTGGCGAAGTAATTTAATTTGAGAATATTACAATTTAAGATTAATTAATTGATGATTGTTTAATTAATCATATAAATATCCCTGCATTTTTTCCTAAACAGACGCACCATTTTTGGTTTGGCGGGGTCTGCAGGCAGGACCATGCAAATTTCGCCGAGAATTTTACTTTGCTTGGCGATAGAAGTTCCGATGAATTGTCAGCATCAACCGGTTAATTCTATAAGAAAAGTGGCATATTTTGGCTATACCATTTCCAATGGGTTTCTTGGCTTATGATCTTATAAATTTTAAATTTTAAAAAGATTTTTAAAGCAAATTTTTAATATAATCTATCATTTGAAAAAAATTTCAAGAATATTAATGCATTTCTAGTTGAAAGATCTGAAAAAGCTCCATTCAAAGAGACTTGTGTTTTATTGGCTGCATATGCACTAAGAAAACGTAAACTTTTATCACTGCTCGCTAAAGATCTCACGGAAATTGCAAAGGTTTATTCTTTATTCACTATTTATTTTATGTAATAACGAGTATTTTTTCAGAAAATTAGTTAAAAAACAAACGAGCGGAACAATAAAGTAATTAATGATACTAAACAAAATATATATACATATATGTATAAAATAGTAAATTAGAAATGATAAGGAAATCTAAAAGTAAAAGAAAAGAATAGTTAAATATTTCTGTGAAACGATTGGGGTTGCGATTCTAGATGATATTATGGATCCAATCAAATATATTTGAATGTTAATTTTTTTTTACAAAATTTAAGATCCGATCCGATTAAAACATCCGATTAAAAAAAATCTTTTTTTGCCAACCTTCTACTGTTTTGTGATAAACAAATGGAGATAGCTTGATTAAAAATTTTAAAAATTTTCATACATACTTCTCATTTCTTATATTTAAATTTTTAGCTAAAAAGTTCTCAGAATGATTTGTTCGATTTATCTGTTTCATCACAGAGTATTGATCAAGCTTTCAATCAGCTTTCGTCGAATTCTGAATTCCTGCAATATTCTTCTTTAAATGTCTCATTATTTCGTGTCTTTTTTTCCGTTTCTTAATTATTTTGAATAACATATAGAATTTAAATTATGTATCATAATTTTTGTGAGTATCCTTTTCACTCATTCCTTAGGGCAAATTTCATTTTCAAAACATTTTCCAAATAAATTTTCTTTGATTCTCCATTTCTTTATTAACTTTTCCAGCAATAAATTAGATTAATAAAATTAATAAAATTAATATTAATTAATATTAAGATTAATAAAATTATCATTAATTTGGAAAAAAAATTATGATACATAATTTTTAATTTTATTTTTTTGCTGTTATAGTGATGCTAAGGAAAAATCTAATTTAGCCTCCACAGAATCCAAATACCGAATTGCCGGAAACCAGTTCTGGGCCATCTACGGTTTCAGAAACTATTAATGTTGATTTATTTACCACAGAAATACCAATCTCAAAGGTTATTTAAGATTTCATTGCTTTGTATTTTATGTATTTTCCATATATATATATATATATATATATATTCCATTTATGTTTTTTTTCTTTCGTAATTTCAAAATGGATATATCAAACAAATTTCTGTAGCACAATCTTGATAGCATATTTCCGCTGGTTTATCGGGCCAGATAGATTTTGCCAGATAGTCACTTGGTAACAGAAATTCAGGTGAATCGCCAGCACCACAAAATAAACACAAAATAAAGATTTGCTGTTATCAGTAGTAGAACTCTAGTTTTTGCGTTCTGAATTGAAAACATTATTATGAATTAAAATGTTAAAACATAGTTATTATTACTTTATTGTTTTTAAGCATATTAAACATTGTTGATAGTGCCAAAATGTTTAATATTCTGAATAATGGTTATATCTTTAATTTTCCCTATTAATAATTCTAGCAAAAAAAGGAAAGCGTTATTTCTAAATCTGATGTGGAACAAACCGATGCAGCAATCAATCTCATAGTCATCGATGAACAGGAAATTGTATTTTTTTCTCTTATCATATTTTTTAATTTAAATATTTTTTAAAATTCATTATTAAAGTGTTTTATAAAACTAAAACTTGGATTGAAGTATGGATGATTTTTCATTTTTTTTACGCCACCGACAAATTCTTATAAATTACGAAAATTTTACGAAAAGGTGCCATGTCAAAACAACAATGAAGCTGTAAACGAATCAATGAAAAATATTGAAGACGCCCATCAAATACAAGATGAATGCATTGCTGACATATCCCAAATATGCGAAATGGACGAAATAGATCGAGGAGAAGAAGAAGACGAAGTGTTTAATCTTTCTAGTGATCAAAAGGTTAATCTCACTTTAGTTCTCTTTAGTTAAAAATATTTGATGTGCATAAATTCTGTAGAATTTTTGATTAGTTTGGCCCACAATAGTATTTTTTATATCTTTAAAAAATATTTCAAACGTCACGTGTTTTTCGTTAAATATTTATATATTTATCAAATTAGTGAAATTTCTTATTTTCTTGATAATTAAAATTTTTAAGCAATTACTTTTCTGAATATTTCTGAAAATATTTCGACTATCGATCAGTTTTCAGGCAATAAATAAGACTCATAACAATGCTATAATGAAAACGGATGCGGCAATGCAGAAAACGAATGACCAAGAGATGGCGCCAGAAGAAGTGAAATGCAGTTTGCGTGGTATTATAATTTTTTATAACTATATTTCATCAAAATATTGAAAATAGTTTTTTTTTTTTAGGAACAGAACCATTTCAGTTCAATTTTGATGGTGCCGGTGGCAATCATTCTCCAGTCAATTATTTTAAAACTGTTAATATTTTCTTTTGTGCTGCATCTGTCGAATTATTATTTTTTATTTATGAATTCAAATTTTAATTAATTCTATGGTTAAATTTCCAAAGTTTTGCTTTTTTTTGTGGATTTTAACAGCTGTCCTTTATAGAATTCTCCACAACTCATGTTTCATGGAATTTCAGATGGGTTCAAATTTATCACCATCCTCATTTGATATGTCCGCATTGAATCTGAATTCAAATGGCGGCCTTGATGTTTCCGTTCTACTTAACCTGTCTGCTGCGATTAATGGTTTTTTTGCTGATTTTTAAATAAAATAAAATATAATTGTCTAACGAACAAATGAACAAATGGAAATTCAATTAAAATTTACATTTTTCATGTTAAAAATTTTGTATTTTCTTTTATTCCATTTTTATAAATTTAAGGGGCGAACGATGATGTAAATGAAGCAGATTTCCTAGCACTGTTCGATTGCAATTCGTCTGAATTGAACTCAAAAGCTCAAGATATCCCTGCAACTTTTTCCTTTAACTTGGATGGTGATGGTGATAAAGAAATAAACGAAAAAAGCACTAAAAATGAACCTTTCAATTTTTTTAATTTTGATTAATATTACATATTAATATTAATAATATTATTTCTAACATTTTTTTCTAAATTTCATTAAAAATGGTATTTTTGTATGTAAATTGTTTTTTTTAAATAATTTTTGCTGTTATCTAATTTTTATATCTTATCGTTATTTAATCAGCAATACGGTATGATAGTTAAAAAATTATAGCTGTGAATAGACAAATTTAGAAAGTTTGAAGAAACATTATGGCACTTAGTGAAATTGAATGCGAAGGGAAGGTTACGAAAGAAAATTGGTTACGAAAAGAAAATGGGGAAATAAAAAAAGGCGCTGGCGCCGTGGATTAGGTTAACGACAAGTGCCCATCTTTTTATTAATCCACTTTGTTGTTATTAATTTATCCATTAATACGATCTTTATTTGAAAGAAATTCTTGTCTTTCTACTACTTACTATTTATTCATTTATTTATTAATTTATTCTTTTGTTGATTTCAAACCGTTCATTGCTTATTTCATTGTTTTTTATTTATTATCCATGGTTGTTGCTTTGATTCTTTCTAACAAACAAATTCTTTCTAACTATTTTAACAAATTTATTCCAATTGGTTTTTGTTTTCGTTCCATTTTCTGAATGGATTAAACATTTTTTTATTGCATATATTGTAGAAATCTTTGAAAATGATTCGTAAATGCCCAAAAATTTGAAATTTTACAATAAATTGCAATAGACGTCGAGTGATATAATTTTTATGTTATGAATAAGCTCTGTGATAGTTACTGCCTTTTGATAAGAGTGATCTTATTATCATACAAAATAGGAGGGTGATGCGGTGTATTTATTCTTAACTGATTTTATAACGATTTCTAACTTGGCGACCTGTGGAGTCAGCTGAACTATGCGTTACCAGAAATTCCATAATAAACTTTTCCTTAATCGACAATAAACTTTTACTGGGGTGTAGTGATAACAATAAAATATGGTAAAAAAAAAATCAGTGTTATAAACGTATTTTCATTAAAAAAAGAAAAAAAATTAAAGAAAAAAGGCATAAATTGAAGCCAAAAAGAACGATAAAGAGATAAAACAATGGCGGTGCATTGTCGTTACAATTTTACTATAAAGCAAATAATAATAAAAATTTTAAAGTCAAATGGTAGCACCAGTTGTCAAAAACCATCCTTTATCTCGACGATAATAACGACATAAAGCTCATAATAAAATTATATTTACATTAATAAAATAAAAAATTTGGAGAGCATAATAAATATTATGAGTTCGACGATGATTATCCTCGTGTGCATATAAAATTCTTATAAAATAAATAATGAATGGCCTAAAAAAACAATTTTGAGAACATTCTTACCAAAACCAATTTATAAGCAATATTAATGTAGAAAAACCTGGTACCAAATAATTTAATGCAGACTCTAAAAGTTCACTTGATTTAATATTGCATAAAGTATCAAATTATTACCGTTCAACATCAAAAAGAAGTGTATATTGGAAGCAATATGAGATAATAAATTCAAAGAATGCTGCATCGTTTTTTCTTACGTCTCTTATCACGCATTGTCATATCACCAGCACCACTTGATCGATTTATATTTATCGTTCCCCCTTTTCGCCGTTTTATTTCCCTCATCAAATCATAAAATACCTGAAAAAAATGAATATCATTCATTTACACATTCAATTTTAACTGTAAAAGTGACTATAAAGCAAAATGGTAAAAATCTTAATCAGTGACTTTTATCCCATTTTTTGAATGTTACTGCCAAAATATTTTTTATTAGTTTTAATAAAATGATAAATTATAAAAATAATTATAAATGCTGAATTGATTTGCCTATTTATTATCAAAATGCCGAAGTATTATCAAAATAAAATGCGAAATGAGAAAAAATGCAAACAAACCTTATCAACATTTGTCCTATTTTTAGCCGACGTTTCGATATATGGTACATTCCATTGCTCAGCTCGTTGCTGCGCTTGCAATTGCGATATGCAACGTTCACTGTTCAAATCAGATTTATTTCCAACAAGAACTATTGGAATTAATGATTCATTTGAAATCGAATTCTTCACTCGTAAAATTTGTTCTCTAAAAAAAACCGGTAAAATACGGAAAATATATAATTATAAAAATAACAAAAATGAAATATTTGAAACCTTCAAAAATTAAAAAAAATGTTTTTGAATAGTTTTATAAAAGATCTTCAAAAGATTTTGTCAATTGAAATTGGATTTTAAAAAAATGGGGAAAAAATCTATAACCGAATGAGAGAAATGATTATAGATTTAATTAATTCATTAAATCATTCAACTGAATACTAAAATCTCTCTTACACATTTGATGATTTTTGCCCAAAATTTTAAAAATGCGAAAACTTTCGAAATTATTTACGTAAATCGATTTAAATATACCGGAATTCATTAGTTGCATCAAATGATTCGCTGTCTGTTATTGAAAACACACATATAAATCCTTCACCACTTCGATAATAATTATCACTAAAAAAAATCAAAAAAAAAAATTAATGGCAAATTTTTACAATTTTTACAAAATTTTTACAAAAAAATTGTGGGAATGAGAATAATTTCAGAAATAGTAAATAAAGTATTACGAAGATGGCAAAAACCTATAAATAAAATATTATTTAAAAAAATAAAAAACCAACCGTATAGCGGAATAATCTTCTTGTCCAGCGGTATCCAAAATGTCAATCGAACATTCTTCACCATCAAGCACAACTTTTTTTCGATATGAATCTGCTTTTGTTGGTTCATATTCCTCCACAAACTGTAAAATTTTACGTTAACATCGATGATTCAATTATAACAATTCACTTTGAAATAAACATTATTTTTAATTACAAATTCTATTATGAATGTAGAACTATAGAATTTTTAAATTCACAAAATCCAATTAACACCATTTCTCTGAAACGAATTTTCCATTCAAAAATTGAAATTTTCTACCAAAATGCATATTTTGCAGCGATACGACAAAACAAAACATTTTTAGCTATAACTATAAATTTAAAGCGGAAATAATAACAAAATTCTTCTAGTAAAACGAGATTTTTGTGTAAATAATTAACCAGTTTTAGCTGTAAATAAATTATAAATTTTGAATTTCTTGATAATTACTAATTTCTGAAAACAAAACAAATAAATCTAATAAATTCTAAACAAATTACGTCTAAAATTTTAATAACGCGAAAAATTAACAGAAATTCATTTAATAACAATGGGAAACAAAAAATAAATTATTTTAGAATTTTTAATTTTTATATCACTGTGTGCCCTCAACTATTTTTGGTTAGACTCTCTTTGCTGGCTTATTGGATCAGAAAAATTTTTATTAAGGAGTCACTTGGGCATAGAAACACAGGCGACCAATGCTGCCCGGATTTTTGAACGACAGATTTGCAGGAACCAGCATGAACACAGCTCTGAACTGAGACCAACAACACCGCTGCTCAGCCATACTATTCCTTTGGAATGGAATGAAATACGTACAGAAAAAATTATGAAAGAACTCTACTCTTAAACACCAGAATCAGAAATTTTAAGTACATATTAAGTATAAATCAATTCAATTAATAAACAACGAAAACAATAACCTCGTCATACATGAATTGCAAAGTTAACGCTGATTTACCAACGCCACCACTCCCAACCATTATTACCTATAATATTTTTATTAATAATTATATATAAAATGAAATTCTTTTAAATAATAAAAAATCAAATCATCACAAAGAATTTCTCCACATTTTATTATTTACTACCTTATTATTTAATAAATATAAATAATAATAATTATAACAGTTCAATTATTTAATAATTATGAATAAATTATCTTTTTTTTTGTAAAGAGAAAAAAGAAGAGAAAAGTTATATAATTATAGAGGAAAAAGGAATTGAAGAAATAGTGACCGATGAAGCAACGAAACCATCTACAAAACAATTCTTTTGCTCATCGATCCTCTATTAATGCCACTACAAGCAAAAAATATTCTAATTTACTTGGAAATTTGTCGTATCGCTGCAAAATATGCATTTTGGTAGAAAATTTCAATTTTTGAATGGAAAATTCGTTTCAGAGAAATGGTGTTAATTGGATTTTGTGAATTTAAAAATTCTATAGTTCTACATTCATAATAGAATTTGTAATTAAAAATAATGTTTATTTCAAAGTGAATTGTTATAATTGAATAATTGAAATGAAAAATAAATAATGAATAAATATAAATAATAATAATTTACAATTTACTTATTAATTTTAACGAAAATAAATTAATTAATAATTCACAAACAAAATTTTTTAAACATTTTTTCGTTTTCTCTTGTTTGAATCCACTTTTCCAAATATTTGCTCCACTTTTTTTCATTTTTCTCATCTTAGTTCAATTAATCTATTAGATAAATAAACTCTCAACAAAAACCAAAATACAATTCTCATTTCGTTTTCATCTAATGAAAATTTATTCACAATTAAGCAAAATCAAGGATATTTTGATAGTATCAAATTGATAACCATTTATAATTTTTTCTTTGAAAATATCTCAAATAAATCGAAAATTTAATAATTCATTTATGATATTTATTTATCATGAAACTCATGAAAATAAATAAAATAAATTGATAAATAAAATCAATAATTATTAAATATAAATGCGGAAAATGAAGAAAAAACTTAAAAACTTAAAAATCACTTAAAAATTTATCAAAATTGATAAGAAAGACTCAAAATTTAATTCAATCATCATAAAAATAAATAAAATCAAATGAATCAATAATTTATAAACAAAATTGATAATTAGTAAACTATTAAATAAAAAATCTAAGAAAAAATAAAAATTTGCCCTAAAAAGTTGTCAAAATTCTTAAGAAAAAATAAAATAATAACTAACTTTATGAATATTATTCGCATTAGCCGTTGAATTATTCTTTTTTAATTGTTCACTGCCAATATTCATTTTATCTAAATAATTTCGCTGAAAACCGCTATTTTCTTCGTTTTTATTTTCGCTACAACATTGAAATAATTTTAAAAAATTTATAAAATACGAATCCCATATTATTGTGCATTCATCACGAAACCATTTCCAACAATTTAATAATTTCGATTCCATCGTTTTTTTTTGCTTCCCTCTTTTCGTATTGCAAAATATTCGTAATAAATAATTGTCGAATAAAAAACGAGGAAAGCCGAGTGGTCGTCTGAAATTATGGAGCAGCGGAAGGCGACGAAATGATTTGTTGAAACAGTTTATCGGAGGAGTACCGCAGGTTCGGTGCACACTCGTATATTTATAAATATACGCAGGGCGACGACGAATGAAACACACGAGGGAAAATCTATTGATCACGAGTTTCGATTACCTATTACGCTCTCTCCGCCTCTACTTTATGCACCTTTTGCTATTTAATCGAATGGATTGTCACTTTATCAATATATATATCAATGGTTTTGCTGATAAAATGGAAACCAATGAGATAGGGGATTTTTTTCTTTACTGAACTGCGTAAAGATAAGGTATCATTTTTCTAATTCATTTAGTTATTTATCATTGATTTATCTATTCAAGCGATAAAACCTTATAACTTTTATTTATCTGAATCAAATGTACCAAAGCCTTCCTCTGGAACTCTGAGAAAACCTACGCATCTCTCTTATTCATGCTTTTTAAATAAAATACACGGAAGAGGGATAAGCGGATGGTCAGATCATCATTTCGAGCGGCAACATTCCTACTTCCTGCAAAAGTAGAGGCCGAGTGGTGCGAAAGCGTGAAGGGGAATCGTAGCCAATGTCGTATAAAATCCAGTCTCTTTCGAAATAAGAAAAAACATCGAGCCGACCCGATAATGTGAAGATTCAACGAAGATTCAAGAGTTCTCGAAGACCAGTCCAATAACCATTTACAGCCAACTCAAGTGCTGTTAACTTCACATTCTGATTTACGAGTGCATAATTTTGCTACAAGTTTTGTTCAGTGGAAGAATAGAATTTAGAAGAAAATCGAAAAATTAAAAAGTCTAAGTGCTACTCATAAGCCACTTGCACTTCTATCGTCAAGTGGCCTTCTTGGCTAAAATTTCTCATTATACGAACAGCCAGAGGCCCGAAGTCTAACCGGGAAATGATGATCAATTAGTTATTAGATTTTTTAATTTCAAAAATTTCCTAATTCGGCAGCTCGATGCGAAGATTCTGATTTCCGCGAAGCCTTTCCTCGCAAATCTGTCTTTCAATGGCCTTGGTGATATTGAAGATTCTTTTATGCTTCAAGAATTTCGTTTGCTTGGGAAATTTCGTCTAATTTCTAGGTAAGCCGAGCGAACCTAACCATGCATATGCGACCGTTCTTATCTCAAAAATCTCAAAATCTCAAAAAAACCTAAAATTTTAAAAATTTAAAAAAATCTTCTAAATCTTCAAATGGTTAAATGGTTTATTTTGCAAATAAAAATAAATTTAATATAAAAAATAAAAAAATTGAAATAATTGAATTAAGAATTAAGAAAAAACCAAATTAAGAAAAAAAAACGAATGGCGAATAATCAAAATAATTCTATTGAATTATAGAATTATTTAACAATAAACAATAAAAAAACATTTTTCTAAAATATTCGATAATTTTAAATTAAAAATTAAAAAATCTAAAATTCAATGGTAAAAATAAATCCATCAATAAATACAAAATTTTTTATCATTTTTTTTTAAAATTTATTGCTGAGAAAAGCAAAAATGTTTAAAAAAAAAACGAAAAAAATGTGATTATTTTCAATAATACCGATTTCGGAATATATCGAATAATTCAGCTAAACAAATTTTTTTTTCAATAACTTTTAATATAATTTTTTAAAAAAATTTACAAACTTACGACAAAAAAATTTTTAAATAATATTAATATTTTAAATAATATTTTCGACCAGTGCGAAATCCTTTTCAAAAACGATAAAATAATGAAATTATTTATTTAAAAAATAAATAATACCAACAGTCAGTAGATCAGTAGAATGCGAAAAACGATTTTAAAAATAAACTCATAGCTCAAATGTCAATAAAATTAATTCAAATAATAATTTCAGCAAAAAATGATAAAATTGAAAAGCAAAAAAAACGATCAAACTACTACTACTATTCAACACAGTTTTAACTAATCAATTGAAATCGATATCTTTTGTGATAAAAAAACTGAAAGCCATTTAAAAAATGGCAAATAGCAAATAAATGCCTATAGCAAATAATGTCTATTTGCACAATGTTATTAATGATTAATAATATTTTAAAATTTTTTAAACAAAAAAACCAAAAATATTAAACTAAAAGAAATTAAAAAGAAAAAACACCACTTACTGAGCGCTGAGGAAACCAGTTCCAATAAAACTAAAACACACTAAAATAAATTAAAATAAGTAAAAAAAATTCATTTTATTTAATACTATTTACTCATAATAATAAATGATTAAATCTTTCATATTTTCTATTTTAAATTCATTTTTAATTTAGAAAAAAAAACAAAAAATCGCCTTGCAAGCATAAATATGCTACCAGTAATAAGACTAAGTACCACTACTAAACATTAATAAAAATAATAAATATGCAAAAGTAAACAAAGAGTAAGAACAAGACCTATAATAAGTTAAAATCCAAATATCGCATTTGATGCTAATCCACTTGGTGCAGAAAAAAATTTATAATAACTATACCACTTATAAAAGAAAAAACCGCTCTTCAATATTTACAAAGTAAATAATAAAAAAAAAGGCGAATAACTGGTGGCACCATTCTTTTTCCTTTTGTTTGCTTCACTTTAGCCAATTTAAGATAAAATTTTACAGGACAAAAATTCTCAATTGATAAATATTTAGTGCTACATTCGAGCTTTCAAAAATACCCGTAAGCCTTACTTTACACTTCGAAACTCTTTTAAAAACACCTGAAACATGCAGCAAAAGGAAGAGTTTAACGAAATAAACAAAAAAATTCAACAAACACACTGTTCGCAGAATGATTAACCAACTGATTAGACGAATCAAAATTGGTTAATCTCAGTGTATAAGATTTAATCGAAATATCAATAATTATGCAAGAGAAACTGAAGACGGAGTTTAACGAATCGCAGTTACTGAACGAATTGGAACAAAAAAAATACCTAAATAAGGAAACATACTTGCAAAGAAAAAATCGGAGGGAAAAAAAAGGGAAATTTTCACTGAATAAGATTTTCTCCAGAGATAACGCGATGACGACGTGTTATTCCGCTTTCAATTAAACCACCATTCAGGCGTTGCTTTTCATATATAACATTCAATTTCTCTCGAAATTCTCTCCATTTTTCCCAGTCGAACGTATAATTATCATCACACTTCTTGAAAGGATCATCAGAAACATCCACAAATTTTTCAGCGGCCATTAAGTCATTTTTAGGCAATTCCAGTCGACATACTGGACATTTTATTCTCTAGAAATCAAGATTTTTCAATAGTCGAAAAATCAATGAAAAATCATGTAAAACACCAGATGAAAATTCTGCTCTTTTAGCATTTTAAAAAGATCTATAATATTTAAAATATTAAAAAATTGTAAAAAATTGTAATTGTAAAAAACTGCAAAAAATAACTGAAAAACGAGGATTAAAATTATTGAAATTTTTTACTTGGTCAACCTTATGTCCCATATCAACAGGCCAATCTTTTAGCTGACGAGCAATATCGCGCCGACAATAGTCGACGTATTTAAAAAAACAATATGAATGAATATCATGATCACAAAATGTACTGAAGATCGCTGAAGACTTTTCTTCGAATCCATTCAAACAAATAGGACACAACACTGATGGGGAAACATTGCGATCCGTTATATAATCTTTCACCATCTATAATATATTTTTTAAAGTGGAATTTTACTAAAATAATTCCATATTTTCGAATTTTCAAAAATTTTACTATCCTTGGAAAAAGAATTTTAAAAATTTCTAAATAAATATATGATAAATTATATCAAAATATATAACAAATTAAAATTATTTAATTACTAAAATAAGAAAACAAAACATAATAAATATATAATTATAAACATATATAAATAAAACATAATATATAAATATACATGTATATAAATGCAAGATATAAATATATATATATATATATGAAAAATTAAAGAAAAATCCAAACAAATAATCCATGACTAAAAGTTGAACCAAGCCTAACAAAAGCGCAATTTTTGAGTTTTATCTAGTTCATTCCTACTAATGCTATTTGAGCGATCGAATAAAAAAAATTAATCAATTAATTAATTAATAAACATATTACTAATACAATTAATTAAGAGTATTAGGGCATTGGTAATTTCATTGCTAAGACATCTTCGTATATCGAATCATTATCTTACAATCTTATAATCAATCTTATCACTAATATCAAACTTTAATATATTCAACGTCTTTAAAGCCTAAGCTATGAATTCCTTCCATTTTGAAAAAAAAAACCCAAAATAAAAAATATTAAAAAATGTAGCATAGAAATATAATATTATTTATGATTGATTTCTGCTTTCACTGGAGGCGACATTATGAATTGCTTCAGTTTTAAAAAATCTCGAGATAAAAAACATTTTGCGCTATTCACTGAATGAATGCCTTTACTTTTAGGCAAACCATTGCGCTTTCTTAAATTTAGCTATGACTTGTACGACCGATATTATGAAAGTGAAATTATTTTTTATTTTCACAGCCCATTTCTGGTATCTGGTTAGGCTTTGCTGGGAAGAATGACACGATCCGTGCAATATGTGCATATTTCAAAAATTCTGTAAAACTGACTATATATGCAACAATTAGAAAATCAATTCTACTAAAAATTGAAAATCTTTTTGTTCGATCGTTCTTTTTTTCAAAAAGCACTAAAAATGAATTGGACAATTGGATCAAAAGTACTGGACGACGACATCAAAAATCAGTTGAGCAATCTTAAAAAATAAAAAATTGTCAAGTTAACGATATAAAACTCTCTATAATCAACAAAATAATTGACCTGGAAAATACTATACAAAACAGCAGTACCCCGATAGTCCTTCAATAATTCACAAATATTACTTTCGAGAATCCTTAAATGCTTTTCATCAATACGTCTTGGTTGAAGAAGACGCACTTCAGGTGATTTTTCTGGATACTAAATTAATTAAATTGAATAATAAATTTTTTACATTAATTTAGAGCAAGAAAATTAAGAAAAATAAAGATGAGAAAAAATATTTCTTCTTCTTCTCAGTTATCACTATTACTGATAAGGCTGGTCCCATTGGCTAGGCGTTTCCAAATTGATTTATAGCCAGTCATAATTAATATAAATAATTTATTACTTATCGTACTTTAGAATAAAATGCACATGAATTTTTCAGCAAATTCAGAGCAAAAATAAACTCATACAATATATGTAAAATAATGAAATAATGAATATAAGAACCTCAGGGTGAATAATAATGTCAACTAAAAGCGTTGCTGATGGACCAACGTTTTCCAATTCGTCAATACCGACTCCTTTCACAATCATTTGAAGTATGGTTATATTAGACCTTAATTTTGAATGTCCGATTTTCAACAATAAACGAATCAAATTTCACAGAATAAAAGTGATTAAATGCCAAATATTTATCAGATGAATGGCTGATGTTTACATTCAATTTAATTGCTCTTATAAAAATCATCTCAAATTATAATAAATTAAATTATTAAAACATTATATACGTAAGAGAGAAATTTTAAGCCTGATTTACTCGAATAAATCTTTTCTAGCAATTTATAATTCCTATAATTCCTGATTTGGCTATTTCATAGATTCTTAAGAAAAGAGTCACACGAAATTAGAAATATATGCAATTTCTTAGCATGACTTCGTGTTTATTTTTGATGACGAGTTCATTTCCGCCAAGAAATAGAAAGTGAATCAACCCCTCCATGTTTGATTTTAGTTAGTATGCAACCCTCAATCAGTCAATTTCAATTAATGAATTTGCATGGAGTCTATTACGCGATTACGCGGTTTAGCAGCCTATATTTCTGAAATAAAACGAAGAACGTACTCGTTGGACATTTCTTTCTTGACGAGCAATTCATCACCAAAAATGCTTCGCAAAACATCGATTTCACAATTTATTTCCATATCGCCATGTAAAAAATTTCCGAAAGAAATCTATAAAATTTCAATAAAATTTGGAAAAGACTCATAAAATCACAAAATTGCGATTGGCTTCATTGTTTTCTAAAGCATATTTGCGCTATTCGTGATTTTATGAGTTCATTTTTTGAATATTTTATCCCTATAACTGTATCGAAAATCTTTTTAAAATGAAAAAAATAAACAGAAAAATTTCATGGAATTTTTAATAACATAAGAAAATTTATGAAATCCACAAAAAGAAATGAAACCTTTCGAAAAAAATACTTCCTCAAAAAATGAAATGAAATATATAAAAATTTAATAATAAAAAAAAATGAAAGGTGAATACCTATGAAAGCAACTTTTATTAATTTTATTATTAATGAAAAATAGCAAATAATTTTTTATTTTTACAACCAAGTGATCGAAACAATGAATCGAGCAAAAAGTTTTTTTATCCATATAAACAAAAATAATTTTGTTTGCATAATTTTATTTTTAATAAACGCCATTCCACCAATGTAAAATCGAACCAGCTACCACTCACTTTCGACTCACAGCGAATTAGCTCAAACCAAATCTTTCTGCTCTTCGTTGCCTTTTTATTTCTAGCTACAATTTCTTAAAAGTAAAAAAAAAGAAAGTGTAGAATAAAATTTATAAGCTCACATCAAAGAAAGAGTTTAAAAAATATTTCGAATAAATAAAAAAGAAATAAATGATATTTTATAAACTGCAAAAAGAAGGAAAAACAAAAAAAAACGAAATGATATTCACCTCTGCCTTCTCCGATGAGACACCAAATCGTTTAGCTCTCTTAGCGAGAACCTCAGCAGAAGGTGGTTCAACCAAGAATTTTGAATTACCTCCTTTCTGAATCGGAAGACCGAACCTGAAAAGAGAAGAAATTAAAGAAAAAACCTAATTAAAAGCAAAAGTCTCAAATTTCCAAGCCAATTTAAAAAATATTCAAAATCCATTTTCCAACTAAGTAATTCACTTTACACATCGTTTAATTTGTACATTTTAAAAAACCTAATGAACTTGTTTAAAAAAACATTTTTGCAAAATTGCTTCCAACATTGTTTTACCGCTTTAGCAAATATAGCTTTTTGCAAGAATTTACAAAAATCAATAACAATGAACCCCCTTTCTTAAAAGACAAAATTAAAATTACCTTGCAGCTCTCTTCTCCAGAATTTCTTTTGTTGTTTCTAAATTTCCAACCGATGAAATATTTGTTATACCAAACCTATAGAAAAACCAATAAAAGTAAGCCTGGTAAAAGTAAGCTTGATATATCAAAATATTTCAAAATAAATGAAACAAAATGAACCTTTCAGCTCTCGATCGTTTTTTTTCTTCAGGCGATAACTGGTCTTTCAAACCAAATCTAAATATTTCAATATGAAAACTAAGAAGAAAATAGATAGAAATAAATAGACAGAAATAATGGACATGAATAAAAAATAGCCTTTCTGCTCTTTTTTGTTTAAGTTGTTCACTGGAAAAAGGTAATCCAAATCTCAGAGCTCTTTTCATTTTCGCATCTATTGTTTCATCGTCCAAATTTTTCTTAGATTTTGAGACTTCTTCGGAAATACTTTCACTGCCTTTTTTTGTTTCAAGTACACTGTTTTCCACTTCAATATCCTTCAAAAAATCCGATTAATTTGAAATATAAATAAATAAAATTTAAATTGAGTTTTGAAGGGAAATTTTAAAATAATTTGTCAATAATTCAAATTTTAAGCCTTAGGAATAACGGTATTTGAATATTAGTATAAAAGATATATAAAAGGATGAATCTTTTTTTTGCGAAATAAAACAGTAAATGCCGCTTACTGCAATCATAGGACCTGTCAAACCGAGTACTTCATCTTCATTAACGCTTGTAGAATCGTTGAGTACTGCTTCTTCATCTTAAAGAAAAAGGATCAGAAGAATAACAAATTATCTACTTCACTCAATTCCTTCTCCAAGAAGAAATGAATGAAAAAGAAAAGTAAACCTGTAATATCCTTTCCACTTTCATCTGAATTAAGTATTTTTTCTTCGACAAGAATACTTTCATTGAGTCGTTCAATAAGCTCAATTTTAGTTCCACTCGTAGACAGTCCACGAGATTTCAGTTTTGCTCTTAGCTGCACCACCTTAAAAAAAACTTTTATAAAATTTTTACAATAAAATTTTTTTAACAATTCTTTCGTTTCGCAAAATCTTTGATATTTATCGAAAACAAAAATAAATTTGTGAGTGGTCATAGATTAAAAATAACCCAAAATAAACATTCCCTTAAAAGATAAATAAGCTACTTTGCTCTTTGAACCTTTAGTCCGCATTTCTCCCAAATTTAAAGGCTACCTTCCCTCCACTATTTAAAAACAATTCTTTATAAATCTCTATTAGACGTTTGTGAAATAGGTGAACTCGATTTTAACAAAAAAAATTTTCGGGAACAATAAGAATAATCAAAAAATAAGTAAGGAAACAAATGTTTTAAGCAAAACTGGGCCGAAGCCAAATTTTAGGAACTATCAAGCATTAATTAATTAATTAACTGATCAGGCGTATTCATAATTATGAAAAAAATCTCACAATTAACTGATCCAAGGTAATCCAAACTTAATACTAATATACTAATATTAATGCTCCAGCATAAGTATATGGGCTTAGATGGAAATGCAAAAATGGTTTCTCTTAGATATGGCGCACGATTGAGTGACCTGCAAAAATCTTAGCCAGCGGAATCAACCTAACGAGAAGTGATGCGCAGTTAGAAGAAGAAATAAGTTGCGAAATACAAAAAGATTTATGAGTAAATAAATATCCCCAAATATTTCACTGTTAATCAGCATTCGTATTTATATTAAAAATATTAAAATAAATACTTTATGTTTTCTTATGTTTATGTTGTTTATGTTTTCTTCATGGAATTCCACGCCTCTTTGGCTGCAATCGCCAAAGAAGCACCACTCAGAGATAGAAACGCAAGTGGACACGAAGGCAGCTAACTAGCGCAATTGTGGGTGCGAGTTGCGGCACGTAAATTTGCTATTAGTAAAAAGGAAACAAACCGATAATTTTGCTAAATTTGATGTTGATGACATTTTCGTTTCTTCTAGTCTAAAAATAATTTAAATTATTTAATAAATAAATAAATTAATAAATAAAAAAACTTTTCAAAAAAATAGGTAAAATATATTCAAAAATAGATAAAATAAATAAATGCTAAAGGGAACTGCCGATTAGTAAAATCAGCAAAACTGAAGAAAGATGAAATAAAAATGATTTTAAATTCGCTAAACTTATGCGTGCGTTTTGCGTCAAAACATACAAAACGTTCTCACGTACGTGTGCCACGTGAATAAAGACTTCTTTCAAAACATCCCTTTATCGCACCAAAATAATCTTAAAATCAGAAAGAACCCCTTGCAGCCGTTTAATAGCAATTCGTATTCAGCAGTCGCGGAAAGATTGTCAATGTCAAGGAAATGAAATAGTGAAAGTTATTAGATACGTTGGGAAAATAAGTGTAGGGAAGAGGAAGAGGAAGCCTTTTGAGGAGCAAAGTCATTGTGAAGCCTTGGTATACCCTTTAATATTTCCTCGAAGCCCGAAATACCTCATTGACGCAACGTCGAAGCTTGTTAAATCCTTACAATTCTCCTTCTGCTTCATTCCACTTCTCGTCGTCTCCAGTTATTCACTCACTGTACGTTTTGGAAGAAGTGAATTACGAGGCTGAAGAGGTGATAAAATGGAAATAGGCGTTATTAAGAGGTCGCAGCTATGTCCGAGATGGTTCCACTGTAAAGGGATTCAAATGATCTTATCAGTGGTTTTGAAAAATAGATATTGTAAGGACATTTGAAGGGGTTTGGGGAGAGTTTTCCGCAAAACAGGTTTTGACAGGTAAATAGCTTTTTGGGCGAACCAAAAAGGTTTCAATTCAACGGGGAGTTTTCATCGGCTTGGCAATGGACTAAGAAGTCTTAATTGAAGTAGAACTGTCATTAAAAACTCAAGTGCATGCTGTTTTTAGGTACCTTTACCTCTCTCTCCAAGTGGTGCTATAGTGAGTGAATCATATAATTCTCAAATTCTCCCCGTTTATATTTTCCTCTACTTGTCCTATGTGCCGAATCGATATTGCCAATAAGATGATATTCAACACAAGGATGTAAGCCATTGAACTGAAGGAAGCACTCTAAATTGGTTGAGGAGGTCGACTTTGTGTGATCGCGATGAAGTCTTGGCCATAGTTGTGTGGAACTTTAGAATACTTGAAATACAGGCAGTAAGCCCAAATTAAACAAAAATAAAATCATCGTTGCCTTTTAGAATCACTTTTAAGATATTTTTATCGTATGAGCTGGTGGTTATACTTGTTCCGCTGGATTGTTAGACCATTTAAAGTTCGGCAAGGAGTCACCCGAATTTTTGGAAGATAGGTCCACTCCTGCCAGACAGCACGAATTTATCAGCAGCCCACTTCATTCTATCCCTCTTCTTTCACCTTTATTCCACCAGAACGATTCTTTTTAACAATTATCACTAAGTCGCCGATGCATCGAAGTATAAAATATTCAAAAATTTTTTTATAAAATTTCGATTTCTATAATTTTATATGCTTTCAACTTTTAAAAAATCGGAAAATATAAATTTTAGAATTGTTTAAGGATGTAATTACTGATGTAATTCCTGACTGAATTAATCTGGTGTATTTTATGGTTTTTTTTCCTTTCACTCCACTTAAATATAGTAGAAAAGCAATCAGGCTAATGGTAAAAAGTGGCAAAGAAGGAGGAAATTTACTATTGTTTTATTAAAGTTAAAATTTCATCGACTTTTTTTGCAGAAAGGATTTTAGCTAATCAAAACGACAATTTTAGGATTAAATTAATATTACTGCCTCAAATCAAAAAAGGGGATATTATTTTTATTCTTGGATAGGCTTTTTTTTGCTGATTGGAGCCATTATTAGAGCCATTCTTAAGAATATATTCGCTTATTTATTTTAGTATTTTGGCATCGAATAGCGAAAACAAAAACAATGACAACTGAAAGAACACTGCACGCTCATGAAATTCATGAGATGTTTCAGTTTTATGATTACTGATGGTTTAAAGAAAAAAATCCGACATATAAATTTATTTTAAAAAAACAATCATTAAAGATAGAAATTTAAAAGGTTTTTTTTTTTAGAAATTCCTTTAAAATTCTTTTTAAAATGAAAATGATCAAAGAAAAGAAAGGATTCCGACCGATTTATTTCCAGTCTGTTTTAAAGCATTCATTCCATTTATTAATTTATTCTCTTTTTTTTGCATATTTCCACCAATTTTTTAGCGATTAGTTTAATAATATTAATAGTAATAATAATAGTAATAATAATAATAATAGATAATAATTTAATAATTCGATAATTAATAATAATAATTCGAAAATTAAACTCGAAAAATTCAAAGAAAGTTCCAATATTGAAAAATTTGATTCAACGAGCGAGTGCTTCGCGCTTGCTTTTGAGGTATTTTAGAAGATTTTCGAAATTATTTTTTTTCAAAATAAATCGTTTACAATCATAAATTTAGCTGCCAGTTGAACGGTCGATTAATTTTCAATGCAAACAGATTTCAGTTGAATTTATTTTTAACTTTTTAATTTAAAAATTGAAACGAATTAAAATGTGAATCCATTTTGATTCCAAATTTTATAATCAATTAAATCAGATTTTTGCATTCTTATTGATTTGCAATAGAAATAAAAATAATAATTAGTAAAACTTATAAATAAATATAAATAAGTAAATTTATTATCGAACAAAATTTATTCATTACATATTTCAATATTTTTTAAATTATATTATTATAATATTTTTATAATATTTTATTTAATTCATATATTATATTATTATTAAAACACTTATAATTCTCTATTTAAATTATTATAATTTATAATAATTTGTAAAGTAATCCCTAAACCCTAAAGATATTTAAATAAATGCACGCATGCGTTGCGTGGGCTATCTTGCATGGGTTATCTATGGGCGAACTGGAGGGAATTTCGGTTTATGGTTCGTGAAGATCGACTTCTTTTCGAAAGCAAATTTTTAATTGTATACTATCATATAATATATAATTATCTATAAAACACCAAACAGTTGCTGAATGATTTTATGATTTTCCATATTTCATCGTTTATTGTCGTTTTATACAAATTTTACTTGAAGAAAGATTAATTTATTTGTTGTGATTTTATTTTATTTTGCTATTGGCCTCGTAATAATCGTTTATTTCTTGCTTTTAGCCCACTTTCGTGAATTCGCTTACTTATTAGTGCCCAATATCAGCTTCTGTGATCCCTCTTGAGACTTGCTCGATTCCCTTCTCATCGCCTGCACAACCTCATGAAAGGTCGCCTTATAAAGTAGGCCAACAAATAGTCACCATCGGGCTTCCAATCTTTCATTCTTTGGTTTAGTTATTGAATTATTTCGCGTTGACCTTGCAAACTATTGGTATTGGTGTAGTAGAAAAAAATGACAGAAGAAAAACCATAAAAATTTTCTAATAATAATTATGGTGGAGATGATCATTCACCAAACAAAGATAATTGTAAATATTCGCTATTATTTAGAAAGCAGATTTATTCGCCATAAAATTGGTTAGAGGTCAACGGTGAAGCCAACGATAGATGCGATAAACACTTAGCAACTGTTTTTAAGCTATAACGCAATATGCTAGGCTTAGTTTATGCTTCGACGATTATTGCAGTGTATTCGTTCTAGAAAATGCCAATGTCACATATCGTATCGCAAGCCTTGTGATTTGAATAGAAATTCACTGGTAGTCTGGCGGATTTGGCATCGAATGGCTCAGTGGTTGCTAAATTCGGAGCCACCATGCTGGCGTTCCATTCCTCGTTGGGATAAAAAACTCGAGTGACGCTAGCTGTTCACATCTACTTCTATCCTCAATGCGTCACATCTTTTTTTCTAAAAGCGCGTTCCATTAGGCTCGTTTCACTTGCTTATCAGATTATCAGATTAGACGAATTTCGTTCAGTGAATCAATTAGCGATAGAGATAAATGCAAGCCGCTGGCATCGTCCGGATTTTGCTTCTGCAGAACTTGGAACCACAGCCCTGGCGCTCCGTTAAATGATGAAAGCAACGATTATTAATGAGGCAGTTATATTCCGATTTGTAAACGAATAAAAATTTTGATTTCATGAATTATGATGCTAAATAAAGATTGGCTTTCCAGAACGTCTGATTTTCTCCAAGCAAAACAATATTTTTTTTTTAGATTCCTTAGATTCTTTTGATTGAAAATGTTAGAGAAAATCATTTTCTTTCTATTTTTCCACTTTTTTCCCAGTCGATTTTTTTTTCTTCTCGTCAAACATATATTCGCTCTATTTTATTGAAAATATATTAAAAAACCTCTTTTTTCCAATTATACGTAAAAAATATTTATAAAATTCAATTCTTAATATTTAATAATTTAAATTCAGATTTTATGTTTCTTATTTATTTTTTGAGGAATTAAGTAAAGAAAGTCTTTTATTCTTGGAATTTTTTCAATGAATGAAAAATTTTCTCTGAAAAAAAATTAATGGATTTTTAAACGTTGTGGATTTTCTTCGTATTGTGACAAAGAAATATTTATAAAAAATATTTTCTCAAATAAATTGTTTTTTCAATGCAAATGAATGATTGACATTTTGATTTAAGTCTAAAAAGAAAAGAAAAACGAAATTTTTACACAAAATTATATAAAATTATTATCATCCGAGATGCTCTGTAATTTGATATTTGAAAAATTTTGAGATTACCCTTCATTCACTTCTTTCTTTATTTGTAAAAATGCCAACAATTTCTGGTAAGGAAAATTTTGCCCGGAAGTCTCACTTGGCAGTCTCACTTGACAGCTGAGTCGATCAGCGTCATCCTCAACCTAAGATTTTCCCTTTTTCCCTTTCCCTTTTAAGATAGATTTTCCCTTACGGGGACCAGAACCTCAGCATCAGCGCAACCTAAAACGCGTGCTGAAATCCACTAAGTCATTCTACCTTAATTCTCAAATTGCTTCCGCAATATTCAAATTATATTTAATATTTATTATTGCAATAAGAAAATTTCATGCATATCCATAGAATTTTATATGATTGAAAGAAGAACGCTGGGAATTGCGTTAACTTTTGATGGATGCGCAAAACGCTGCGATGCCCCCCTAGAAATAAAGCAGTGCCTGCAGCTTGGATACAAAAAAATGTCTCGTTTTTCCACAGTTCGGCTTTAGTAAATGCCTATAATTGTCCGCAGTTTGGGATGACGCGATTAGCCTATAATAGATAATAGGTATTCGTCGTTTGCCTTCTCAAATTATTGAAACTTTCGATCACTTTTCCACTGATTTTTTTAAAATAGTCTTTCTGCTCGGGAAATTATCAATTATCAACTATAATAATCAATCGATTCTTAGATTCAATCGATTAAATAGAAAATTTTTTATTATTATTTATATTACTACAAAATTGACTGTAAGTTTTATAATAATATAGCAAGTATTTCATTTACAGCAATTGGATCTGCATGAATTCAGTTTTTTTCGTATTTTAATATTTTTAATATTTTAATATTTTTTTTAAAAGATATGGCAACCATTACTGGCAAC